TTCTTGTCAAACTTTTTTCAGTGAAGAAGAAAATAAGTAATCTGTCCTTTATGAACTTGAAAGTAAATAATCTTTCCTTGACTGGCATGAAAGTAAGTAATCTGACTCGAAAAAAATGTTCCAGACTTCCTCTTTCCACCCCTTCCCCTTCAGAATCAAATGGTCCTGATGATTATACAGATGTGGAAACGTACAAACTCCAAGGAACTCTTTGAAAATTTGAAATCACAAAAAAATTACCAAAATCAATAGCATCAAAACGTACGACTTTTCGATACTTTATACAACCATTTCCTGCGATAAATTAAAGACCAGACTTTTTAACATCATAGAGAACTGCTGCTTCAATAAAAATGCAACTCGTAAATTTACATACCTTGTCATTGGTCATCTGCAAACTTAATTCTTTTAAAAAGAATCTGATTCTATATACAAGTACTCCGAGTTTGATATTTAAAAGATGCTTGAATTTCACATTGACAATATCTACGTAGTTTTTGGAGACCAGGTCTTCCAACAATTTGTTGGAATTCCAATGGGTCTAATTCTGCCCCGCTATTAGAAGTCCTGTTTTTGTATTCATATGAGGCAGAATTTATTAAAAAACATCGACATGAAAAGAAGAAACATCTTCCTGGCCTTCGATTCGACATTTAGATACTAGTATATCGACAACGTTTTTTATTAATGAATTATTCAGTTTCATTCCTACGTTGATTCGATGTATCCCTTTGAACTCGAAATAAAAGAAACCAAAGAGTCTGATTCATTTGTTTCACATTTGGGTGTTTTACTAGAGGATGACATTGGCAAACTAACAACTTAACTTTATGATACACGTGATGACTTCAACTTTTCTATGTCAACTTCCCTTATTTTGAAGCAATATACCATTATCACTTGCATATGGAGTGTTATGTCTCCTAGTTGATTTGATAAGCGTGTTTTTTCCAAAACGAGATCGGCTATCAACAAATAAGGACAACAATCTCGTTTAAAGTCAACAGTTCGCAAATTCTACGGCCGATACCATGATCTTGCTTGCAAATACAATCTGACATTAATTAAGTCGAATGTTGTCTGAAGTCTTTCATAAACATTGTAAGGCCATTATTTTCACCTTGTCTACAAATGTGATCGGTTGGCAGGGGATGCTTACCCCTACATTTCACCTGATCCCACCTCTGTTTTCAGAGGTCCATGTTGGCTTTAATCATAATCTGTATTGTTTAAATTGAATTTTGAGAAAGATGACTGTTCTTCATCTTCATATTTCATAAACAAAAATAAACCATTTATCATTAATGAGGTATATATTTATTACTGTATACTTAATTTAACTTATTTATTTAATATAACTTATCTATTTATATATTGATTAAGTATTGTTATCAGATTAAGATGCACGTATTTCAAGTAACTAAAATATTTTTATTGAAAGAGAATTAGGATATTTTTATCTTAAATAAAAAAAGCGTTTCCATTAAAAGGGAATGAGTATATTTTTATTAAATGATTGCTGACGGAAAATTTAAAATTCCTCTTCAGCCGAATTGATATATATTTGTGAATTTTATCAACCTTTTCTTCTACGGGCAACATAGAGCTCTAAGAAAGACATATTTTTAAAACAGCTTGGAGTTTGTAAATAGGGCATGATAAAAAAACCAACATTAAATGAACTAACATGGAAACAACACTCAGAATAAAATCCAAAAGATTTATTGAAAAATTACCAGACTTTCATATTTCATAGAAAGTTATTTGTAAAGGAGCATTAGTACTCTTAGCATATCTTAATGTGATAATAACCTTATTAAAAACATTATATAATATTGCTAATAATTGTCATAAAGCAGGATATATTTGAGACAATGTCTACACCTACTTCTAACATAAAAAAAACCCATTCACCTAAGAAGATAATTAATTTTCTTTATAATGATAAATACGACCTTCCTTGGTAAGAACTTCTTCATGTTAGAAAAATAATAAGAATATTGCGCAAAGTTTACTACATTCATGTAGGCATAGATGCACGAATGCTCGTATGAAATCACCTGACCACTGTATCCATAGTAACAACAGGTGCGCTAATAAGGTACTAAGTAATATTACTTGATGCGGTTATTTTGCGATACTGATAGATCTGACAGGGACGAGGTAACAATTGTGTGTTGTATTTCGAAATACTATATAGTACTTGTATGATAAAACGATAGTCAACTTTCCATTCTTGAATATTTTCAACTGTATAATAATTATATTTGGGTCATTTAATAATGTTTACATGTTTTTTTTTAATGTTACGTTGTTGGTTTATCTATAAGTAAGTTGATGAACACAATGGTAATGTTATTTGAATAATGAAATTGAATGTCATACTACTTTGAGGACTACCTTAGTTATCAGAATTTAATTACAAGTGTCTCATCCCATTGACATAATCATTGTCAATAAAATATGTTCAAAACATACTTTGCCATAAAAATATCCTTTTCTGCAGTTGTTATCTTGTTAAAACAAGTGAGCTTACGTTTGAAGTTTTAAAGGCCTTTCGAAGAATAGAATCATCTTCCACATTTTTTTTTTATTTTAGCCATAAAAAATTTGCAAAAATAAGGTAGATAATTTGTGTGTTTCATAATTTGATTCATTTATTGTACGTAGTAAATAAATACTGATTTATAAACAATTTTCTAGGATTTTAAGCATCTTTGTGTGAGCGGACAAGTTTCAATGTTTTGAAAAATGTAACCACACTTTATCTGGTAAATTGTTTCAGACAAACCAATAACCTTAAATATGGTGTCGCAGTGCACTTTAAGCAATCATTCAGCTCTGTCTTTGCTATGCAAATAGTAGCTACACACATCATTCCGAGAATTTTCCAAGTTATCAACTACAACCTTTATAAAGTACACCGTTACTATTCTCATTTCTAGAATAGTATAGCCTTTCACAACGCTTATTTTAATTTATTAATACCTGTATTGAACATTTGACATTTAATCTGTCTATTCATACACGATAAGAAAAATTATGAGATTAACGTCAATTACTTGTTTCCGGTGTTTTGTTTTAATTACCTGACAATTATTGGATCAAATTGACAATAAAGGATGGTGTAAGTGCTACATTATTGATTGCAGAATCTGATGCGAGTGTTTATTCTGTAATCATAGCAATAAAGATTAGGATATTTCTTAAGGGCATATGCAAAAAGCTCCTAATTTTATTTCTCTGTAACTTCAAGTCTTTGATATCGTTGCTGGTGTAATATTTAGAAGTATCCATTTGATGTTAGATAGCTAGTGTTCTTTCAACTTCTCTTTTCTGATTCAGCTTATTATTAGTACCTAAAAGTTCAAAATAGGCAAACAAAATGTGATTTTAATTAGAAGATCGTGATTTTCTTGATTATAAAATGTAAGTCTTTCATATTGCGTAATTACCCACTGTTAACTTGTCAAAACTTAAAAATTCCTATTTCTTGCCACACAGATGTTATTGAAATTCATAAAAAATGAATGCGATTCATATGGAATTTTATAACAAACATTTGCTTCAGTCGTTAGAATAGAGGAAATTTGAAATCGCAAAACTATTTTCTATTAAGGTTAATAAACCCCGGAGAAATATAATGTTATAAGTTTTGAATTTACTGGATGAAGTTATATGCAAAATTTATGAGGATTTAAATTCAAAATTTTTAACATGATAGAAGAAAAATACTTTACCATGTACAGTTTAAGCTCATGTTTTGAATTACAACGGACAATATCAACATAAGCAAAAAATACAGACAGTCATGTCCTTAGTAAGAAAAACACAAAATTGTAGTTCTTTAAATAAGAACTTAAAGAAAAGAATATAGCAAATTAGTTCAATTTTTTTTTACATTCATGTGAACGTCAAATAAATTAATCTTTTTTTCTTCGTTTTAAGCAGAGCAAGAACAGTAACAATCCAAGACATGATTTAATGTATCAGCTATGATCCTTTAGTAAAAATTAAAAAAAAAAACCTTATAATTATAGCGTATAGTTTTATCATGTCGTTAACAAATCAGACGAAAAAAGAGAGACAAGATAGAATTTTGGAATTTAAGTACCAATTCTGTTGAATAAACGATTCTAAATCTGGATCTGTGTTGCTTTAAAGGTATAAACTCTCTGTCAACTCTTATAACAGAAATAGCTTTATGATGTACATATGTAACCTTTCAAGTAATGATTCTTTATAACTTTAACTCATCGTGAAAAAGACATTGCCCTCAATGTATATTATTTACAATAAGGTATGTCTGTACACCATGGTTTTTCAATGCAACAGAGGTTTTTCAATTTAAAACTAGTCAAAAACCAATAACCAAGTAAAGTACATGTAATATCTGTCTTGTACTATTTTCTATTTTACATTTTCTTTTTTCAATTCTTCCTATTAATATTTTTAAAAATATCTAGATGCCCTTTTTAAAATAAAAGCTTTAATGTTAACTAATTAAGTTCGGTATTCAAACACCTGATTAAATATAGCATCTAATAACTCGTGTCTGCTTACATCACGACTTTTAAAGGTCGTTGATGTTTTTTGCCATTGTGTATATACATTTTTATCTACCAGTGGTCATAGCATGTTATTGCAACTACAGACACGCTTTGACACCATATATACATGTACATAAGCATAGATGCGGGTATTAATTAAAATGAGAGATGTTTTAAAACCCACGCTCTTACGCAGAAGAGTATTGATATCTTATACTCACCCCGTCTAATGCCATAGAGTTTAATTTCCTGAATTTACAGGATACTTCTAACTTAAACCTAACATGTAAAAAATATTATAAATGTTGAAGTAATTATTCAACTCACTACAACTGTTTTATTCTATACTGTATAATGTAATTCTAAAAAGGACGTATCAGAGCACTAGTGAACAAAGAACATACACAAATCTGGATTAAAAACTATTAGTATTTTCTATTTTACTTTCAGCATTCTTCCAACTGAGGCAAAAACAGTAAGTGTCATGGAGACAGTTTGTTTCGCCGCCATCTTACTAATGTTTACATCACCTCAAACGGAATCTCTCTCCATCAAAAGACGCTCACTGAGGAGTTCCGATGATCTTACGGCCGCCTTAGCTGTCCTACGTCGCCATAAAAGACAGACCTCCGACATAGGCTATCTACGCAACTATTTAATAGATAATCAAGACAGAATTCCAGAATCTTACTTAAACGTGTTAAACGACAACTATGGCCTTAATTTAGAGAAGTACTACCCCCAACAGCCTATTTCAGAGAACATCTTAGACCGAGAGATGCTTCAAGATGCATATAAAAATACTTATAAAGATGTTGGGCCATTTGTTACTGATGAATCAGATGAAAGAAATATCAAAGGATCTCGAAACGTCCCCACGCGAGCTGAACTGGCGGAAATATTTGGAGATTTCAATAAGAAAGTTCCTGAAAGAACCCACAAGCGACAGATATACATGCACCATCCCACATCTGAGTATGAATCACGCAAAACTGGCTTAGAACACTCACCAAAAAGTAACAAGCAAAAAGTATCGGAATCAGCTTTGAAAGAAATGTTTGAGAAGAGTTCAGAGAAAGACAATAATGATGAGAAATCAGCAGAAAAAGAACGAACTCCGGTCAGCACAGAAGAACTGAAAAATGTTTTTGGCGATGAGAGTAAAAATAAAGATGATCAGTCTAAAGCTGTAGTTTCTCCTCAACAACCCTCGCCAGTCCCAACTAAAGACAACAAGGCCGAAAGGAGTGTACCGACAGAAGGCGAACGGTTCCAAGAACTCACACACTATGAAAATATGGCCAACGTGAAGGAGAAAAAGAAGAAGCGAGTTGAGAAACGCGATTACGATTCGGAGATGGAATTATCCCAGACTGTTCTCGATTTAACCAGAACTGTTGCAGCACTTCGAGACGAGGTGACACGTCTAAAAATCGCAGAAGCTTTAGAAGATAAAGAAAATGATCTCCTGGCATCCGCTCTTAAACAGGCGACACTTGGTCAGCTACAAGGCACGGAGGGGAATTTGAAGAAGGAGTACTTAGACATTCAAAACGCAATAAGAGTAGAAGAGCAGTTACAGGCAGTTAGAACGCCGAAGAATGAGGAAGAAATGGAGGAACCAGGCATAGAAGGGGAAGAAGAAGTTGTGGCAGAAAACCTTCCATTTGTTGATAAAAGACAGGGGAATTTGGCAGGGATGGTGGCAAACGATAACACAAATAATGATCAGTGGTACGAGAATCCAGTGGAGGAAAATGTTGGAATGGATGAAGACGGTAAGGATTAAAGCCATGTCCTCATTCGTATTGCTTGTATACATTTCTAATTTTCATATTTTAATATGATTGGTTCTTTAATTAATTGAGAGGAAGAGAGAGAGAGGGAGTAAAAGTTTTAATGTTTTATTTCATATACTGCTTTTAAAAAGTGTTCCTTCCTCATAGATAATGTAGATAAAATTTATTTGTAAAATTACAAGGTAGGTTCGTCCTGATTTCAGACGCAGACAAAACATTGAGAGAGTTTGCAGCAAAAGCTCTCATTTACAAACAACAACTTAAAAATAGTAAGTAAATGTTGCACCAAAATTAAAAAAAAAAACAACTTTCACACATAAAATTAGGACTTATTCACCAAAATAAAATTCATTCTATTATTCCATTTTCCCACCCTGAGTGATAATAATATTGTGTTCGTAAATGATGAAAGTGTACATGTATTTATAAAGGTTGGTTCTCTGTACATTTATTTGATAAAAAATCACCTGAGCCTTGGCTGTATTTTGTAGATGAAAATGAAAAAGCCATTGAAGAACTTGTGTCCAACCTGAGCCCAGAAGAAAGACAAGAACTGGCGGAAGGATATCTTAATCAGGGTCCCTTTGATGTGCCATCTAATGAAAGTAAGTAGACTATATGATGACCAGTCTCCTAAGAGCATCAAAGGCTCTTAATAGACTGTTTCATGAATATATATAGGTATTTTTGTGGATTTTCATTTAATTTAGGTAAGTATTTCCCATGATGAGTCATATTCTATTTTTACCTTCGCCATCTATTTTCATTGAATTCTTACACTACATTTTCACTACACTTCTTACGCTACATTTACACACTTCTTACTGCCATCTATTGAAAATAACCATTGTATGTCTTAAAAGACTCGTATAATAAAAGTAAGAACTAAAAAGATTCTTATGACAGCATACTATCAACCACAATCTATATATAACACATGTAAGATGTACCACTTATCCAACATATGATACCCTGTATAGAGTAAGCTTATTTTTTGCGTTGATTCATATATAGATCAACAAAATAAATATATACATGTACCAGTTTCTCTGAACAATGGGACACATAAAGTACTAAGGTTGCTTATAGCTGTAGAACAGTTATCATATTCAAGTGAATTGATCAGCCTGTTTCATAGCTAAACGACAAACAAGTGGATTTGCAATCCTATTAACCAAGCAATAAACTTAATAGGAACGTCTGTCTATATTCATAATCATCATAATTGTACAATGACCTCAAATAATCGATTTTTCAGGTACCCTTAAGGCTTTGGGGCATTGATTTCATCTTAATTCAAATACGATAACTCCCCATCGTAAAAATAAAATATTCTATGAACATAATAGAAAAATACAAGCAATAACATCTTCTCTTATTATATAGTTTTAGAGATTAACTAAATGGTTTGACAAAACAATATAATCGATCCTATAAAAATTGGATTCTAGACAAATAAAAAAAATTAAATTAATATTTTGGTTGAAAAGAGTAGCAATGAATTGATATGATTGTAACCTGAAACGCAGAAAAAATTAGTTTATGAAATGGGATGCCTTTATTACAGTATAGACAGTTTTATTTTGATGCTGTGTGAATAGGTATCAAATTTATTCGGCAAATCCAAAGTGTGACTGAAATACTATAGTTTTTAGATGTTGATTTAAAATTTTTTAAACAACAAAATCGTATTATTATAGAACACGTGCAATAACACTTCATGTACAAAGTGTTAAGATTAGATCTGAAAATCACGAGCTTTTCAAAACAGATATATCTCGTCGTACTTTTGTGGGCAGTGATAGAATATATATAATAAAATTTCATTGCTTTGAAAAGTTTCAATAACATAAAAGCTTAATTAAGTATTTCATCTACACCTCGCTAACAACTGTATATAAAAGAATAACACGAAGGGATGTTAATTTGTCTATTACATGCAATGAATCTTAAGTCCCAAAACTGGCTCTTTTTACAGATGCCTTTTATATTGTACACTGACTAAACGCAGGAGAAGAAGATTAAATATTGAAAAGACAGAATATATAAAGTTCTATTATGACATGTAATTATACACCTAAAGTAATCTTTCTATTTATTACAATTGTAATCACTTGATTGCAATAATTATCTTAGAAATTGTGCTAGTTACGTTCCGATTGGTTTATATACAACTTTATATACAACTATTCCTCACGATAAATTAAAGTCCACACTTTCTGACATCGTTGACAGCTGCTTTTTCAATAAAAATGGAACTCTTAAATTTACTTACCTTGTCATTGGTCATTTTCAAAATTATTTTGTTAAAAAGCACTCTGATTGTACACACAAGTACTCTGAAGTTGACAATAAAAAGATGCTCGAGTTTCTGATAGACAATATCTATTTGGTTTTGGGAGACCAGGTCTTTTAACAATCTAATGGAATTACCATGGGAACCAATTGCGCCCCGTTATTAGCAGACCTATTTTTGCATTCATATGAAGCAGAGTTTGTTCAAAATCTTTTACGTGAAAAGAAGAAAACACTTGCTGTGGCCTTCAACTCGACATTTAGATATATCGACGACGTATTGTCAATTAACAATGGTTATTTCCATTCTTATGTCGACACGATATATCCCGGTGAGCTTGAGATAAAAGATACCACAGAGTCTGACACATCTGTTTCATATTTGGCTATTTATTAGAAAAAGATAATGGTAATCTTACAACAAAGTTTTATGATAAATGTGATGACTTTAACTTTTCAATCGTCAACTTCCCTTACTTATACAGCAATATACCCTTATCACCTGCATACGGGGTTCATATCTCTCAGTTGATTCGATACGCAAGAGCATGCTCTAAGTATAAACAATTTCTAAAACGAGGTAAATTATTGACAAACAAGTTGATGAAACAAGAATATCAACAATCTCGTTTAAAGTAATCATTTCGTAAGTTCTTTGGTCGATACAATGACCTTGTCAGCAAATACAATCTACCATTAAGTCAAATGCTGACTGACTTTTTTCATACTATTTGTTAGGCCATTATTTACACACTGAATTGATGACGGATTTTTCAGTTATTTCCCGATCATGACAAGGAGCACACGGCGGGTGTGACCGGTCGACAGGGGATGCTCACTCCTCCATGGCACCTGATCCCACCTCTGAAGTTTTAGAGGTCCATGTTTGCTCTGCTCGTATTTTGTAATGTTTAATGGACTTTTGAGCTCGAATACTGTTCGTTATCTCCACATATTTCATTATGACGAGTGGATAATGGTATTATAAATCTTTTATTTTGATGAGACTCTTTTGTGGCAACATAAGTAATATGTGGATGAAAATAACCATTGTTAATTGATAAAACATCGTCGATATATCTAAATGTCAAATTGAAGGCCATAGCAAGCATTTTCTTCATCTCATGTAGAGGTTTTTAATAGATGCAATAAATACCATACGGAAATATATTTTTCTAGACATTTCATATTTTAATGCTGGCTTTCATATTAACAGATAATTGTCCTGGCGTTAATTATCTGACTTCCCAGTGTTCTGTTGCCAAAATGGCTGGACTCAAAATAGACGACGATGCAATGAATCTTTGTAATAGACACGAAATCTGCTACACGTGTGTAAGTATAGTAGAAAAAAAATAAGGTCACAATTTCTTTTGAAACCACTAAAATAGATTTTATAAAAGTTTTTTTTTCAATATCACAAAAATAGATTTTATAAAAGGAAAACGAATCAGTTTAGCAACAAAAATTATATTTTTTTTTACAAGATTTTAAATAATATGCTATAAAGTGATAAATAAAGAAGATTCGCAAATTGAGTTCGCATTGCTTGTGTGCATTTTATTCTACTTTTTTACTGTATCATGATTGGCTATTCAAGTGACTAATTTATTAAGAGAGAGTGAGACTCAATCCCATAGGCTTCTTCTTTATAATCATCTCATTTATTTTAATTTTCAGGGAGAAACTTTATCCTTCAGTCAAACAACATGTGATGCCGGTTTCCGTGGAGACGTTATAGAAATGTGTGGCAATGACACAGAATGTATTGAAAATGGCGCTAAATTTCTGTGGTTTTTAAAATCAGAACATACCTATAATTATGGTTACTTGAACAAATGTGACTCTGGTTGTGTTAAAGATTTCATCAAAGGACTATAAAATTCATATTGAAAAAAATAAGCATTGGTTTTATAGACTAAATTACAATTCAGAATTTGACAACCTTTTTGCAAATAAAGTAGTCATCCGAATTCTTGGGTGATTTTTCTGAAAGTTTTACTAAAATATTTGTGTCAGTGGCGGTATTTTTTGTTTTTAAAAATTATTTTCACATTTTATTAATATCGTGATTTTTTTATAAATATATTTAAAGAGTTGAGCAATAGTTACACTCACCCTTACTAGTTGGATTCTAAGGAAAGAATATCGTAGTAAAAAACTGTGGAAAGTAAACATACATACATCGTATACCATGCAAGTATGGATAATGTCATAAAACTTGTATTTGTATAATACACTTAAGTCAATAAATGGGTATATATGAATGTTTTAAGGTTGCATGGAGGTATTTCAAATTTAACTATTTTGTTGCATAACAAATATTTTTAATTTGAAATGATAGGGGAATGATTTTAAAAAGGTGATACTGAAATCACTAGATCAAGTCACTGATATCGACTAACATGAACACAATCAAATTCTATTTTGCTAGCTGTAATATAATGAGTGTGCAAGAATTTTGCAGAATAATCTTAAGTTTCTATGTTTGAAAAATGCTTAATTCTAGCCAATAGAATTTTGAGATTTTGTCAATAAAGGAACTTTAAGAATATTGTTTGTGTTTAATTTCTTCAATACAGGAAGGGAAAAAAAGAGAAGACAAGTAGCTTCTGTTTTATTTGGACATATCTTTTTACAAATAAACAATTTGATGACAACAGAGAAAAGCAAATCTGATATGGAATGTTAAAACAACAAACAGTAATCATGCTCAAAAGATCAAATAAACAATACAATTAGAGAGCAGAGCAAACACAGACCCTTGAAAACATCAGAGGTGGGATAAGGTGCCTAGGAGGAGTAAGCACCCCCTGTCAATCGGTCACGCCCACCGTTATCCCCTTGCCATGAGCTAGTAAACGGAGAAATCCGTTTAAGAAATAAACAACAATGTTAAAAAGTTCTCTGGGAAATGAACTTGGTTGGTCACGTGATCAAATCCTGTGAAGCCCGAAGGGCTTCTCAGAAGATTTGATCACGTACCAACCAAGTTCATTTCCCAGTGAACTTTTTAACATTGTTGTTTATTACTTTTATTTACATTTGAGACAAATATTCTGAAAAGAACTGCATTTATTACACGAACGGCCCGCCGTATTGCTACGTTGTGACGCGCAATGACCTAGAAGCTGTTTGGTCTTGAGAGTTCGCCTCGCTCCAACATTTGAATACTTACATTGATGTTCAGCAGTCCAGTTCAGGAAATATCTGTTCCTAATGCAAAACAATGATCGCTACTGACAATAATCTTACTATTATTGTATGAGTTCTTTATATATGAAGTCAAAAGCGGTGCTATCGTCTTCCGTTTACATACCATCAGAGGGATTTCGGGTTAAAAAGGTAAGCGTGATTTTAGGCTTTCTTCGCATCGAAGAAAGAACAAATGATCATTTGTTGAACGAAGAAAAACATATATGTTCCAATAATTTTATCTTTTTCATCGCTTTAACGGGTTAGAAGTTCCGAAACCAGTGTCACCGTGACAGAAATATGTAGACAGATATCATCGCGCTGTGTGATTCGGTCATGCCATGACCTCTGACCCCCAAATAAGTTCATACAGAATTGAACATATTTTCTCTTCAATAGGTTCATCTAAGAAAAAATATTTGCAAATGTAAATAAACACAATTTAGTATGAAAATGAAGGCAATTCGTATGAAAAACTTCAGTAAACATTCGACCTAATGACACATTGGTTTGCAAACAAGGTCATAATACAAGGTCTCGAGAAGGACGCAGAGCAGTCAAAAGTTTTATTACATATAAATCTCCATATGTCTAAGTGTCGAATTGAAGCCCACAGCAAGTCCAGAGATTTATTCTTTTAATATAATTTTTTTAAATAAATTCTGCTTCATAAGGAAACATAATCATTCTGCCTTATAAAAATAAAGAAAATCTAATACAGGGACACAATTATATATGTACCCATGTGAACTCCAATAGACTGTTGGGCCAAAAATGGCAGAATGTATTTAATTTATCAGATAGATGTTAAAATCTGGATTTTAGCGATTGAGGGGCAATATGAAAACCATCTATCCTTTTGTGTTCAATAATTCAGACGTAAAAAAAGAATTAGATAGATTACACGAACAGTTTGTACTGGTCCCAGCTGACAAAGCAGGTAATAACATTGTCTTTATTTGTAAGGCTTATCATTTTAACTGTATTTTAGAGAAACTGGGATGTAATTCTGCAAGTGGCAATCCAACTTATACCAGGTACCCATAGCTCCCTTTCTAGGGAGGAAATTCTTCAAAATCATGTGTCATTTGCAACAATATTACTATTCCCAACAATCAAAATGAATTTGAATTACCACACCTATACTGGATTCCATAACTTCATAAAAATCCTTACAAAGATACATAGCGGGTTCCAGTAAATGTTCTACGAAGCCTCTTTCTTTACTCCTCGCTAAAATATAAACAGTAGTGAAGGAGAAACTTCAGGAGTGCTGTGCAACAATATATTCGAGAAGTGGTGTAAATCAGATGCTGATACTTAAAAATTCTAAGGAACTTTTAGAAAATTTGAAATCACAAAATTTTACCAAAATCAAAAACATCAAAACGTTCGACTTTTCAACACTTTATACAACCATTCCCCATGATAAATTAAGCTCCAGGCTTTTGGATATCATTAACAGCTGCTTTTTCAATAAAAATGGAACTCGTAAATTTACTTACCTTGTCATTTGTTATTTACAACATTATTTTGTTTTAAAAAATTCTGATTGTACACACAAGTACTCTGAAGTTGACATTAAAAAGATGCTTGAGTTTCTGATTGACAATATCTATGTGGTTTTCGGAGACCAGGTCTTCCAACAATCTGTTGGAATTTCCATGGGTATGTCTCTCATTGATTCTATACGCAAGAGCATGCCCTATGTTAGAACAATTTATAAAACGAGACAAGCTATTAACAACCAAGTTGATGAAACATGAATATCAACAGTCTCGTTTAAAGTCATCATTTCGCAAGTTCTATGTTCGATACAATGACCTTGTCAGCAAATACAATCTATCATGAAGTCAAATGCTGACAGACGTCTTTCATACTAATTGTTAGGCCATCATTTAGCACACGGCGGTTGTGACCAGTCGGCAGGGGATATGCTCACTCCTCCATGGCACCTGATCCCACCTTTGATGTTTTAGAGGCTCGTTTTGCTCTGCTCCTGATTTGTATTGATTGAATAGGCTTTTGAGCTTAAAAACTGTTCGCTATCTCCGTATATATTTGGAAGAGCTGGTCTCCAAAGACTACATAGAAGCTTTAAATGAGGAACTCCAGCATCCTTTTCATATCAACCGATTATAAGTTGAATTTAATCTAGGGTTTTCTAAAAGGCACCTGTAATAATGAGCCTTTTATGCAAACAAAGAATTTGTCAGCTGGAATCAGTACATACTAGGGATGTCAACGAGTACCCGGTTAACCGGGTACTCGATCGAACGTCCGAGTATCGAATACTAAAAATGGTACTCGGTTACTCGGATGTATATTTTTCTTCAAAGAATATATTTTTATCAAAAAATAACTTAAATATGCATACGGTAAATAACGTGTCGTCATCTACACCTGTAAAACACGCGTTATCGCCTGTGGCTGGGTATATACAGTAATTAGTGACCAATCACCTGGTACACGGCTGTTCTCACCTTTTGTTGTCCTTAATTTTTGAATGGCTTTAATGATTGTTTTCATTGTACATCGTTTAAGTATGGTCTATTATCTTCAAATCATTTTAAAACTATTTAGTTAATATACGGAAGCGAAATTAGACATGCATAGAAATGTCGTTACCCACTTCAAAAGTGAAGAAATATTTAGAAATAACGGTACATACTAATCATGCAATCGATCTTATTCTTCAATTTCTTGTTTCTGAATTACTGAAGGCAGAAGGAATGATTGTAGGGATTTTCCCATTTAACAGTTTAATCAAAACATATGATTTCTCAACAATTTATTCAATCATTCCTCACGATAATCTAAAGAGTAGGTTTTCAACTGCTTCAATAAAAAAGGAACTCGTAAATTTTCACATCTTGTGATTAGTTATCAACAAAATAACTTTGCTAAAAATCATTCTGATTCTACACACTCTAAGTAGTTGATATTAAAAAGATGCTGGAGTCCCTCATTGACATCATCTATGTAGTCTTTGGAGACCAGATCTTCCAACAAACGACCATGCATCACAGTGGCTCAGTCGGTAGAGCGCTTGCTCCGTGATCGGAAAGTCGTGTGTTCGAATCACGGCCGCGACTGACCTATATAAGTCGATAAAAAATGGGTAGCAACTGTTCCTTCGTCAAGTGTTCGGCACTTTGAAGTGAAAGTAGCGGGTCCTTCAGATGAGACCTTAAAAACCGAGTCCCCATGTCACGGTAAAGAACTTTCACTGCTCGATGGCCCTGAGTGCTGAGTAAAGGTCTAAATTTGAAGCCCTTCACCGGTATATGGTGACGTCTGTATTTGATTGATTGTATGTTGTTTTACGTCCCGTTCGAGAATTTTCCACTGAATCTTCCAAAAAAAAAACTGTTAGAATTTCGATGAGCACTAATTGTGCTCTTTTGTTAGCCGATCTGGGTTTTTTTTTATATTCTCATGGAGCAGAATTTATCAGAAACTTCTACATGAGAAAAAACTCTTGCTGTGGTCTTCAACTCAGCATTCAGATGTATCGACGTTTCATCAATTAACAATTGTTACTTCCATTCATATTTTGACTCGATTTATCCCAATGAACTCGAAATAAAAGACATCACAGAGTGTTCCACATCTGTTTCATATTTGGATGTTTACTGACTATAGACGATAAGGTCAACTAACAACCAAGTTCTTTGACAAACGAAATAACTTCAGCTTTTCCATTGTCAACTTCCCTTATTTATGTAGTAAAATTCTGCTATCACCTGCATATGGTGTTTATGTCTCTCAACTTATTGCTTCATTGCAAAAGCATGCTCTGGTACAATCAATTTTAAACCAGATAAGCTACTGACAGAGGAGTTGATGTTACAGGGATTTAAATAAACTCTATTAAAGTCAGCATTTCATAAATTCCATGTTCGTTATAATGACCTTGTTAGCAAATATAACCTATCATTGGGTCGTATTCTTACCTACATACTTCATACCAGGCCTTTGTTTTTTTTGCTAAAATTCTAATTGATCAATATATAGGGCTCACAAGGTTTTGACCGGTCAATAGAGGATGCGTACTCCTCCTAGACACCTGATCCCACCTCTTGAATTTCTGGGGGTCCACGTTTTATGCCCTGTTCACAAATTTGTATTGTTTTTTAGGTTCTTTTTTGAGATCAAGAACTGTTCCCTATCTTCAGCTCATTCACTTACTTTGCATTAACTGCCACGTGAACGCTGCATTTAATTTGCATTAACTTAATTCCTATTATTTTACTTTGCATAAGTTTTTCTGTGAAGTAAAAATTCAAAGTGCATTCGTATGAACAAGGTATGAGTCTCCAAATTAATAAATAATAGATATGAGGTTCTGTGACTATTTGCAAGACCATGTCAAGACTTTGCTATAACTTAGAAGTTCCAGTAATTTTTTTGTCAAATGAAGTGCCCTTTTGTCATGTTTAGTGTCTAAATGATTTTTTAAAAAAAAAAAAAAAAACCCTCTAAACAATTACACATATATTTACAATTTTTAATACTTTCTACATTCAGGATGAGGATTATACAATATAAATGATGTCTATAGATGAAAGTAATTTAATTGATTCATTTCTTAATAAATAAGAATGATAACCGGGCAATAATCTTTAGCTACAAAAATATAAAGCATTCTGCACTGATTGCTCAAATCAAAATATGCACTACACATATTGCATGACATAAGAAAATTTTCTGTGTACATATTGCATGACCTCAGAAAATCATTTTATGCGTAAATATTGCCTGATCACAGAAAATCATTTTATGCGTAAATATTGCCTGATCACAGAAAATCATTTTATGCGTAAATATTGCCTGATCACAGAAAATCATTTATGCTTACTATTAATAAACAGAATGTAAATGATATGAACACAATGTATATATGAGCACTAAATGAACAATTATTGTATAAAGGAGTACATTCACTATAAAACCTCAAATGTAAACCAAAAATGTAACGTCGTACTTCTCCACTAAAACTAATAAATGTTAACTTGAAAATTAAAAAAAATTCTTTTTAGGACATGTATACATACATATACAAATATACTTTGAAAAAATATCTTGTGTGCAAGTTTTGGAAACACAGATTCTGCAAATATGCTGCAATTCCCAATACCCTACAATCTAGTATACCATTAAACCAAAAAACTATTGTACATCTAAAACTAAAAATAGTAGTATAACTATAAAAGAGTATATATATTGTATTCAGAAAAATACCTACATGTGATACAGCTAGAAAAATGCTTGATATTTAAGGAATAGTTAATAATGAATTTTTTATTAATATTAAGAACATCAATAGGGTATATCATATCCAAGGGTCAAAATTATCATATAGTGTTAGTTTCTTGGATGTTTTAAACTTAGTGTGGTAATATTTGTTGTACTCATTGTCATATATTCATCCAAAATATAAATAGAGTTTAAGAATATCAGTGTAGGTTAATACATATCTTGTAATATATACATAAACATGAAATCATGAATGCATATGGATTTTGAATCAAGTTTGAAATAATATAATGTCCTCAATTATGCTTATGTACGTGTTCTTCGTATTTACTTTTTAATTTAAAGGAGATAAAGATTATGCCACATATTTTTTGCTGATGGAGGATTTCAGGCAATCAGCGTGAAGGAAACCATTTGTTTTATATATAATAAAAAATTCAGATGTGATGCCAAATAGAGTTGAGAGTGCACAAATATTCTTATAGTCTTAATATAAAAATATAAATTTGTGTTTTTATTTGTTGAATTTTATATAACGTTTGCTTACTTATGTACAAAAGCATATCATCTTAAACATTTTATGTAATTCTTTAAAATATTTATTTTTATAACCATACTTGATTTTCCATACAGTGTTTCAAAAGACATAATGTCTTACTGATTAAGGTAAACATGAAGGAAACACATGTACATGTTGAATTTTGTGTGAATTTTGTTTCTACATTCAGTACAATTTTTACTTATTTAAGTAAATCTTCACTCTTGCACCAAGAGAAGGGCATAGGTAATGAAACAATTCTATGAGACATTACTCTAGTAGTCTCTCAAAAATTCAATTCCATACGACATTACTACCAGGTATAGTATCCTGTCAACAATTATAACTTAATTCCCTTGAACCTATAAAAAGGTTCTCTCTATTAACATAGAGTTGTAACTCTATGGTTTTTAGACACAACACATAACAAATTTAAAGAAATTTTCTCAAAATGAAATGAGCATTTTACTTTCTTGAAAGAACAATGATTGATGAACGAGTAAATTGTAATAATTTCAGATTGAGTCAGCCTTCTTTTGCTGATCTGCAAAAAAAAAAAAATGTGCATGCGATAGCTAAATTAAATACCTCTCTATGCATTTAAGAGAGAAAAAAATTGAATGACACCCTCTGGTTCATTAATCACCAGATTCAAGGTGTTGGTGCACAGTACTTCAAATCATTGGCAAATGGCAACATCTATGAATATTCCAAATAATTAGGTCAATCACAGACTATTCTATCACTCTGACACCTTGGTCACAAAAATCTCATAGACCTCTTTGGTTAACTCTAAACATGCATGAAGAGGCAAATGAAAACAATTGTTCACTTAATTATATAATTTTAGTTTAACTAATTTGATTTCTTTAAAAATATAAATTTTTCTCTCACCTGCATAAAAAAGAAATATCAAAAAAAAAAAAAAAAAAAATTAAAGGTATACAGAAGAGAATTATATGCATATTAGAAAAATAAATAATGTTAAGTGCAAAATAAATGATAAAAAATAATAGATAACAAAATAACCACTTCCTATAATCAGCAAACCCTTCCAAACTAATCTAAAAATTCATATCAAAAGACATATCTATACTATATAGCTACAGTCTGAAACTAAACATCTAAAGATTTGGTTCTCTTAACCTCCTTAACATTCTCCATAGGGATGTTTTCAATGGCATCCTGACGATGGAGAGCTTCGTGTAACACTTTCTTCTTTGACCCATTGTCTTTAGGTCCCTTTGAATCTGTGTTGTCTGTTATCAGTGGGCTGCCCTCAGCCCCATGTTCCTCTGTCCCAAACACATCATCCTCAGGAATTGTCTGACTGATTAAAGAAGTATTGAATTCTTTATTTCCCTCCAGTGGGGAATAGTCTACTGTCATGGCTTTATTTGTTCGCCCTTTGAGGCGATTATTTGACCTATTTCTACACAGAGCTGTGTCCTCCTCCGTCCATGATAGGGCCCTTTCTGGCATCTTCCTGATGGATTTCATGCGCTGTAGTCGAGCATTATTCTTTCGTCTTTTTCTTAAGTTTAGAAAATCAACTTTGGCAGTGTCGCTGACAAAATCGTCAAATCTTTTCTTTGGAATCTGTGCAGAATTAAAGCAATAATTTTAGTCTAACAGTACTAACATGAGTTAATATATTAATAACTCAGTTCAGGTTCACAAGGGGCAAGAATGATAAACTATATTAATTTTCTAAGTATGTATTTTTTTTTTTTTGCATACTGTGATAAAATTCAACACATCCATACATGTACTTAAATGTACACATGCCTGAAAAACTCAGTGCAAATATTAGTGCTAAGTGAACTTCTCTCCACTTTTTTTTTTTTGAGAAATCTTTTCCCTACTACATCTAAGTAAAGCGTTTAATCCTCCATTTACTGTAAACCAACTATTATTCGCGTCATCTTTTATTCGCGATTTGTCAGTTTGAAATCAATCAACGACGATTAATTTTTGCGACTGAGGAAACATTCTCTATAAATACAAAGCAAAATAAATGGTTCGCGGGGATTAATATTCGCGAGTTAAAGTAGGTTGTGAAACTCGCGAATATTTCTGGCATGCAAATAAAAGCTGGTTTACAGTATCATACATTCTATTTTTTATATGTTAGTTTCTTGCTTTTACTGTAGTGCCTTTTTTGTTAACCGACTAAGAACATTACAGAATGATTCAACATACAACTGTGTACATAAATTTCACATTACCATGCAGTTAATATTAGCTAGGTGCAATAAAGCATCTTTGACTTAATTCAGCAGTCCTATATATACAAATTGTCTGTAATCATTAATTACTCAATATGCTATATACATAATTTATAGTTTGAATTAGGGAAGCGCGATTTTATCGGTATACTGGTATATCGTGATTTTTTATTGCATGATACGTATTGAGTTACAGAGACTAAAATACCGGTATTTGGTACATAAGTATAAATTCCAGAAATTATTCATTCATTTCTTCGAACTATTAAATAAAAATTACAGGAAGTCTAAAAAATGTTGAAAAAAGTTAAAATACAGCATCCAAACATGCTTTACATTATATAAATAACAAGAGGCCCAGGGGCCACATTGCTCACCTGAGCACTGTAGCTAGGAAACAAGCAAAAATCAGTTTAGTATTGAAAAGCTTAAATGCATAAGTGGTCTCGACCTACCCCGAAAAGGGATTGGGGGGTGTATGATTTTAACAAAGTTGAATCTACACTAACTAAGAATGCTTACATATTTTTTGACTGTGACCTTTTTTCCCTGCAAGTTTGAGCTTTCATTGTGGCCCCACCCTTCCCCTGGGGGTCATGATTTGAACAAACTTGATTCTACACCACCTGAGGATGCTTCCATATAAATATGACCAATCATAGCTTTGCTGTTCTTGAGAAGAAGATTTTTGAAGATTTTTCCTATATACTCCTATGTAAAACTTTGATCGTCCATTGTGGCTCCACCTTACCCCCAGGAGTCATGATTTGAACAAACTTGAATCTACACCACCTGAGGATCCTTTCACATTAATATGACCAATCGCAGCTTTGCTGTTCTTGAGAAGAAGATTTTTGAAGATTTTTCCTATATACTCCTATGTAAAACTTTGATCCTCCACTGTAGTCCCACCCTGCCCACGGGGGTCATGACTTGAACAAACTTGAATCTACATCACCTGAGGATGCTTTCACATTAATATGACCGATCATTGCTTTGCTGTTCTTGAGAAGAAGATTTTTAAAGATTTTTACAATATATTCCTATGTAAAACTTTGATCGTCCACTGTGGCCCCACCCTACACCCAGGGGTCATGATTTAACAAACTTGAATCTACACTCACTACCTGACAATGATTCAACATGAGTTCCATCTTTTCTGGCCCAGTGGTTCTTGAGAAGAAGATTTTTAAAGGATGTTATTAATTTTTCATAATTCTTAATTATCTCCCCTTGGAGGAGGGTGTGGCCCTTCATTTGAACAAACTTGAATCATCTTCAGCCAAGGATACTCTGTGCCAAGTTTAGTTGAAACTGGCCCAGTAGTTCTGGAGAAGAAGATGAAAATTTGAAAAGTTAACAATGCAAACAACGACAACAACAACGATGACGACAGACAACAGACAAATTTTGATCAGAAAATCTCACTTGAGCCTTTGGCTCAGGTGAGCTAAAAATGAAAAAAGTGAAGTTATGTTTTTACAGTGTATTTGTAAGAAAAATTAAAGCAATTCATATGAAATTGTTGTAAAACTTCCATGTACCCTGGTAAAAATATCATGATATTATCGTGATATTTGGGGAAATCATGATATATCACGATACGAATTTTTTGGCGATACCCATCCCTAGTTTAAATGTCTATAAAGACCTTGAATTATTTCCTTACCACTAGGGTTGGGGACCTCATACTTTGATCTAACAAGTTTCTGAAGTCCTTGGCGGTAGGTTCTCCTCCTATTGAGATAGAAATTGGCTTCCTCTGGGACTTCCTGGGCTCTGTAACACATAATTTGCAAACTTGTCATACACATATTTATAATTCTAGAACATGGCTTTATATGTCTGAATCAATTAAATTTAATAATATGAACAAGTAACATAATTATAACTCTGAATGAGTTTTCTTTGAATATATATATATATATATATATATATATATATATATATATATATATATATATATATATATATATATATATATATATATATATATATATATTAGGGATGTCAACGAGTACCCGGTTAACCGGGTACTCGATCGAACGTCCGAGTATTGAATACTAAAAATGGTACTCGGTTACTCGGATGTGTATTTTTTTTTATTTCACATAACATTTTTATCAAAAAATTTTCAAAAAAATAACTTAAATATGCGCACGGTAATTAGCGTGTCGTCATCTACACCTGTAAAATACCAGTTATCGCCTGTGGCTGTGTATATACAGTAATTAGTGACCAATAATTTGGTACACAGCTGTTCTCACCTATTGTGGCCCTTAATTTTTGGATGGCTTCAATGATTGTTTTCAGTGAACATCGTTTAAGTATGATCTGTTATCCTCAAATCATTTTTAAATTATTTAGTTTATATACGTAAACTGTAAACAATTTGTAATTTTTATGTATTAATTGTGTCTTTTGTGCTTATTTGATAAATAAAGAAAGGGGTGTACAAGGCGATGGCGGTCCCCCGCTCTGAGACAATATATTTCTCATTTATCAAAGTTCACTGAAAAGTTATATTTTTCTAAAATAATGTTTCAGTAATGTCATCTTCAACACATTTAATTCAATTATTTTATTGAATGACTTTTTGATTGATTATTTGTTATTTAAATTGACAGGAAAGCATATTTAGTGGAAAATGGGTTTATTAGAGACATAAAAAATAATTTTGAATATGAATGGGTCAAGTTTCTATTTATAAACTTGATAAAAACAGCTTTGGGGTTAAACAGGGCTTAACGGGGCTCAAGAAAATTAACACACTTGTGTTTACATTTTTAACGAATACCCGGGTACTCGATCGGAAAAACGTCCGAGTAACTGATTATCAAAAATTGACCGATTTGACATCCCTAATATATATATATATATATATATATATATATATATATATATATATATATATATATATATATACACTTCATAAAATCTGTAAAGATATGTTTGACAATTATAAACACAGTTATAGCAAATCAGAGATTGCTGAAATTGAAGCATAACAGTAATGCTTTACATCTTGCTAATAATGCATCATTTTATAGTGTAAATTGGCAGAAAAAAATATCCTTCTTTTGTATGCATAAATTCATATTTAAACATGTTTTACTATAAGTATAATTTTTCATTATTCTTGGCCTTTCTATTTATGTATTTTTTCAAAACCTGTGAATTAATCACTTTTCAAATGGAAAAAAAATATGACTGAATTATCTCTATCTATGTGCATGTAACAAGAACATTTTTCTATTGACCTGAAATATTGAACTCTTCATCAGAAAGATAAAATAAATATGCTTGATTATTTAAGAGAGGCATTCCAACATTACAAAGAATAACATGAAACATTTCAGATTTAGAAAGAGTATTAAATTGAGTTACAAGAGAACATGACATGCGCATTAAGAATTGTGTTTCGGAGGATTTCCTCAAAAATAGTTAATTGAACCTGAAAATGATACATGTACTTTAAACAATAGTGTGATATTTTTCCTGTAGTTTTTACTGGCAAAGTTGTTATTCTGGACACTTCTTAAGGGTAAAAATGCATATCTTCCGCTCAAGATGCAACGTACAATAGATGACAAGACTGATGACATCATAGTGTAGTCTGTTACACGTATAATCTTAACACAATTTGACCACCAAGTGTGTGTATGTGTAAAAACCCACATAACTTGTATTTCCAAACAGAGATCTATTAATCCTAATTTTGACTACCATTCAATAAAGTCCCATGCAAAACTTTTATTGTGGCCCCTTACTCCTCACCCCCCCCCCCCAAACACACCTTTTTTTTTTAATATTTATAATATGAATTATATTAGGAAGCTTTCACATAAGTTTCAGCTTTTCAGGTCCAGTAGTTCTTGAGAAGATTATTAAAGAATTTTGCTATATGTTTCAATGTATAACTTTGATCCCCTATTACGGCCAAACCCTAACCAGGGAGGGAGGGGGGCATGATTAGTACATTTAAAATGTAGACTACTTCAGGAAACTTTAAATGTTTCATCTTTTTCTGGTCCAGTGGTTCTTCAGAAGATTTCAAACGAACTTTCCCTATATATTTCAAAGAAAAACTTTGATCCCCTATTGTGGTCCTATCCTACTACGGGAGCCATGATTTGAAGCATTTAGAATCTACTATACCTAAGGAGGCTTTCACATGTGTTTTATCTTCTGGTCCAATTGTTCTAAGAAGAAAAACTTTACATATTTTTTCTTTATATTTCAATGTAAAACTTTGATCCCCTATTGTGTCCTTACCCTTTCCCCAGCATCCATGATTTATACAGGCCTAATTTAGAATTCATTCTACCTTAGGAAGCTTTAATCACATAAGTTTCATTTTTTCTAGTCCAATGGTTCTTGAGAAGAAGATTTTTAAAGATTTTTTTCCTAGTATATTATTTCACTGTGAAACTTTGATCCCTTATTGTGGCCCTAACCTACCCTCAGGGGCCATGATTTGAACAATTAAGAATCTACACTATACTTCATATAATTATGTATAATATCTAAAGAAAAACAGTTAACTACAGAGAATTTAATTATGCATAGTACAAGAAGCTAGAATTGTTCTCTCTCACATATGATTAATTTAGCTAAAGCTTTTATTATAGATATTGCAAATCTCAATTTTTTGTTTCACCTTTTTAATCATATGTGAACAACAGACTTGGAAGGGGGGGGGGGGGGCATTAACAATGATTCCACAGCATAGTACAGTTATTCTGGGGACAGAGTATTAAAATTTCAAAAACTGAAAATTTAGGGTTCATTTGTCCAACCAATCACAACATATTTAAGAATTATGAATGGCTGGTTTTTCTTCAGTCTAATGGGCATTTGGTGGAAAATTACATAATACATAATTATGGTAGTAACTAATACAATGTTAAAGAATGGTGTAATTTAAAAGTAAATGATAAGTTCTAGTCATGAAGGACATTATTTTGGTATTAATTGACGTGTAAATTTTAAAGGTGCTGTGCATTTGTTATAAGTTACGTTGTATAGAACAACCTCATTCAAATACAATATATACATTGTAATTAAAGATTATTTTTCAACTTTTTGGGAAATTAGATGACAATTATTTTCCCAATTAGGATCTGTTTCCTGATCCAAAAATTCATGTGACGGCTCCAAGTTTAACTTCCTTTGATATTTTTATTTTTCAATCAACCCAAAAAGATAGTATTCTGTTAAAAAAATAATTCTCCATTTTCATTCCAGGAAAGTTCTATTCAATACTAGATACCATTCTGAAAATTTTTCTTATAAAATTTTAACCATGAGTGCACTCATTCAGAAGAAAAATAGGAATAAGATTCAAGCCTTTACATGGCTGTTTTTATTGAATTATGATAATTATAAAAATATATCAGTATAAAAATTTCAATACCGTTACCACTAGTATTTGGACCATTTAAATTTCCTGGTTTCATTACTGCTTCTAAAATCATAAAAGTATTGAAACCCTTGACATACAATAGTTTCTAATATAATTTTGGAAAAATTTTAATTAATATTTTAACAGTATATTGTAAGACTGGAAAACCATGCAGTTCATTCCATTCAAATCTTCAATTTTATTAAATCAAAGGTATTTTTTCTTAAAACTCTACATTTATTTTAAAATTAGACAATAAAACCCATGTACTTCCAAACCATCAACCTTTTATCAGCTAAAAACTTGAAAGTTGTTTTCATACTAAATCATCATACATGTACATGTGGAAGTTGCCAAACTTAATAATTTAGAGATAAAATCTACAAAATTTAAAATATATGAGTTATGACTGATTATGACAGCTAACATGTTTAGTATTTTACCTTTAGGTTTAAACTCTTCCTCTTCTTTTTCTACCTCTTCACCTGCCTCAAGTTCTAACAATGCAGCTGAGCTGTCCACATTTCTCCTAAAGTCAAAAAACAATATTCCATATCAAGATGTTAAATATCTAGCTAGACATTCATAAAGCCCTTACAAAAATTGTAAGGAACATAAAAATCAAATAAAGTATTTGATATAAATTTATTACTAAATAAATCAAATATTGTACAACTGTACAAAATCCACTGATATTTGCTATTGCTGCAGTTTTTCCCCAAGATTAAATGACAATCATACTAAACATGAACTCTATAATTCTTATCACTGTATGCATGCCTAAATAAAATTGGATCAGTATCATGATCATAATATAATGTGTGAGCTTCCAGTGATTTCTACGATTCAAAGATATTGGAGAAGAATTTCACACTTACTATTTCTGTGACCTTGACATATCAACAGGTCATACATGTATGTTAGTTTTGTGCCTAGTATGAACTCAATGTTTTTCCATAAAAAACTAAATCATACTGAAAAATTCAGTTATCTCATCCATCCCTTTGACCTTGACCTAGTTTAAATAGACTTGGTTTGATGTGACAACACACCCTCTAGTCATGTTACCATTTGATTAAAGTCCTCATATCATTCACATTAATATTAAATAAATGAGCAAGTTTGAAGACAGACAAAGAAACAAACAGGCAGACAAATAAAAAAACAAACAAAACAATGCACTCCCTTTCTTCAATTTCAGGGGAGGCAATATTTAAAGTTATGTTGAAGACATAGAGGATATTCAATGTTTTGTGGATGAATATGGAATTTATTTCACGAGTGGGACAGGATTTTTTGATATTTTCACGAGTGCTAAGCACGAGTGAAAATATCAAAAAATCCTGTCTCACGAGCTAGCATAGCTATCTAAATTTCTAAAAAAAACAATAATGTCCACCTTTCTATGTTCCCCCTCGAAAAAAAGACATACACATGTATTACTTAAAATCTTCATGGAACTTGAAAGATGCTTATGTTTTCTGTCTACACTACAATTGTTCTAATTAAGCCTTATCAAATCTTCAAAATATTGTGAAACAGAAAGTATAATTTTTTATAGAGAAAAGCATTTCAGAAACTTCAAATTCAAGTACAGAAACATTTCTTTTTTTGAAATGAGAAATCAATATATAGAATTACTTATCCTCACCTTCTAAGAAAATGTCTACATAGAGAAAAAAAACAACAATAATATTCTAAATCAATTTATATCGACAACAAAATTAGAAATATTGAGGCAACTTGTCTCCTGTTTTGATATATGTTTAAGAACTTATGAGATTATACTGCTAAGAGAAATTGTATCTATATAATCTAGTGAAGACAGAGAAGATATACATATAAAAAAAAATCAAGATTACTACTTACAGATCACTTGGGACTTTTGGGAGGTTAGCAGCACCACACAAATGCAGATTCTTGTAATGCTCTCTGAAAACAATCAAGTATGTAATTCATTCTTAGTCTGTGGCAGCAACAATTATATATGTATAATCTTAAGATTTCCCAAGAGGCAATAAAAGACATTCTACTGCAACTTGCTGAAAAGGATTTTTTCTAACGAAAAAAAAAATGGTGGAAAAAAAAACAACAAAAGGCCCAGGGGCCACATGGCTCACCCGAGCACTTTTGCTAGGAAAAAGCAGAAATCAGTTCAGTATTGAAAAGTTTAAAATATAAAAGTGGTGGGGGGGGGGGGGGGGGGGTGTCATGATTAAACAAATTTGAATCTACACTTCTTAAGGATGCTTTTAAATTAATATGACACATAATGGCTTTGCTGTTCTCAAGAAGATTATCTTATTGATATATCCTTCTCATTCCTCTGCATAAATATGATCCCCTGTTATGGCACCTCTATACTGCTGGGTGGGGGGTGGGGGTGGGGGGTTCACGATTTGAACAAATTTGAATCTACATTACCTGAGGATGCTCTTATATTATTATGGCCAATCATGGCTTTGCTGTTCTTGAGGAGAATTTTAAAGATTTTTCCTCTGTATTCCTATGTTAAACTTTGATCACCTATTGTGGCCCAATCCTACCCCCAGGGGTCATGATTTGAACAAACTTGATTCTACATTACCTGAGGATGCTTCCATATAAATATGACCAATCATGACTCTGCTGTTCTTGAGAAGAAGATTTTTAAAGATTTTTTCCTATGTATTTCTATGCAAAACTTTGGTCGCCCAATGTGGCCCCACCCTACCCCCGGGGGTCATGATCTGTACAAACAATAATCCACACTACCTGAGGATGCTTCCATATAAATATGAACAAATCATGGCTTTGCTGTTCTTGAGAAGAAGATTTTTCAAGATTTTTCCTATGTTTCCTATGTAAAACTTTGATCGCCCATTGTGGCCCCCACCCTACCCCCGGGGGTCATAATTTGAACAAACTTGAATCTACACTTCCTGAGGGTGCTACCACACAAGTTTCATACTTTCTAGCACAGTGGTTCTTGAGAAGAAGATGTTTAAATGATGCCATAAATTTTTCACTAATTCATAATTATCTCCCCTTGGAATGAGGTGTGGTCCTTCATTTGAACAAACTTGAATCCCCTTTACCCAAGAATACTTTGTGGCAAGTTTGGTTGAAATTGGCCCAGTGGTTCTTGAGAAGAAGATGAAAATGTGAAAAGTTTACAGCAACAACAACGACAACAACGACAATGGACAAATTTTGATCAGAAAAGCTCACTTGAGCCTTTGGCTCAGGTGAGCTAAAAACACCCCCACCCTAAAAAAAAAGCAAGAGGAAAATGGACCACATTACTCATTTGAGTCAATATTCTCCTCCTTACGAACTGCAAATGTTCAGTAAAAAATATAAAACCTTTTACTGTCATCTCTGAAGTCCATGATTACTAATTCTAAGTTGAAGAAGTAGACTTCTTGTTTTTACAGATGTCTATATATTTCTGTATAAAAGTATCCTCTGTAACTAGTTGTTTATTAGTCCTCTTGAAATAAGTGGTTCATGCTTTTAAACATTTTCAAGTGTTAAATACACATGTATTTCCCACTTTTTGTTCCACCACTTTTGCACTACAGGGCATGGTTACAGATACATGTACTTAACTGGAAGAAGCTTATCATGGTTGTTTTATATTCTAATACACTGAACTTGTACATTAAAAACTGTTGAATCTGAAAACTGTGCAATTCATTTCACTGTGAATTCCAACCATTATTTTCATTCCCACTTGATATTTTCCATGTTCTTTACTATGTAATCTGACACCCTATCTATTCTGACACAAAACCTGGGTCTCAAAGCATGTCAGCTTACACTGGTTTTACTGTACCTCATCATTAGTTTTTCATAATTGCCAATCAGATCTGCCCCATCTTCCAAGTTGGGTGTTTTCAGTAGCAACTTCCGAATATAATTGTCATCAATATAATGGAATTTTTCCTTAAAAAACAAGAAGAATGGTTCAAAGTTTATTCTCTAACTACAGTACCAAAGAGTCAATCACAATAATTTTGAATTAATATACTTCAAAAAAGAATCAAAGCATCTCTGTTTCAAATAATTTTTCAACAGATGAATGACTGAAACAAAAGGTTTTACTTGAGCTAGGACAAGCTGAAATTATACAAACTATTTGATATTTCATATTAAATACATGTACATATATGTACACTGCATTTGAGCATATTGCCCCTTTTTTTTTAACTTACTCGGAGTGTAAACTTTCCCAGGTAACCCAATACTTCTTCAATGCCAGCCATTAAGTGATCATTAATCTATGGAAAAAAAAAAATATTACAAATCAAAGAACAAGGTTCAGTTAGGACCTTTTTGGCCCTGAGAATTTCTCAAAAATCAAAAATGTTTAGTTTTTGTTGACAATGAAATAAATATAACTATGACCCTTGGTAACTGCATATCTATTGAAAATGATGAAATTACAGTGTATTTTTCTAGTCAATGCATAATAATATCATTAATTTTGTCATCACATTGTATATTCCAATATCCTGAAAATTTCCTAAAACTGGCCAAAGATTTAAGCTGTTTTTCAATGTTTCATAAAGATCACAACCTCTGACCCAAAATGTGCAAAGATGTAATGATAGAACTGTTTCTAAAGATAATAAAAGATTTTATATTTGTGTCACGTGTAGAGCAGAGCAACACTTAGGGATCGCTTTAACCGGCGTTTGTCTGTCCATCCATCCATCTGTCAAACCCTATATCTTGAGAAGAGGTATGAATTTGACATTTTGCACATATATTGCTAGGCACTTTGGCTTTTGTAAAATACCATGCTTAAAGACTTTGTGACCTTTGAATCTTTTCAAATTAGTTTATTATGCCGTTATACAGCATATTTTTCATATTTAAGAGGTAACTCTATGTTATTTAGCATGTGCACTGTTTGACATAAAACATCATGAAAATTACCAGCATTACAATCCAATTGACCTTGACATTTGACCTACTTTGCAAAAATACTGTATTGTCTAAGATAATTTGATTAACATTTAACCTTTTTCATTTATTTTTAAGAAAACCTTCATGATATTTGTGGCTTACAGTACCTTCCTGTAAAAGGAAGTAAATGTCAAATAGGAGAGCCCATTCATTCACATATTATTCATACAGTGTCTTTCACAATTGCAAATTATTCCAAATCATTGTCTCAGTGCTTGCAGAACCTTTAAAAGTACATGTAGTTGTAAGTATTCTAAGCCTTATTTTTTTCATAGTGTCAGTTGCGGACGACACAATGTGCCCACGTAAGACAGCTTGAAATTTTCTTTTCTCCCATTATAAAATGGAGAGACGAATTTCATGTGGAGCAGCAGTAGGAATTTCCTTATCTTACATTAAATGATAAATTAGTTTCCTTACACTGCTCTGTCATGTATAAAACAGGTAATATGAAACTGACAAATTAAAATAGGTATTTTACAGAGAGCACATGAGTTTTTGATTTAGAAGTTTCTGCATGTTCTATACTTTGTCCTCTTTAATATCAGAATATTGAGTTTACACTCACAATATTAATCAAATTATGGTGATCTTTCCAATTCTTGATCCAGTTTTTGAATCAGATGTATAATTTTTGCAATTATATGACACATGCTGTTGGTTTAAAAAAAATCATTTACTTTAAAATCACATATATTCTATGGGTCATAATTTCAAGATTTGAGGAAAAAATATTGGTTCAAGGCGATTTGATTTTGTGGTTGAAGAAGTACAGCTTTCTTATACATTTAAAACTTTCCAGTTCCTGGAGGACATGAATTCATGGGTCTCTTCAAAGATCAACTAGGACATTTTTACTATCTGATCGATAGAGCCCCACCCAAACACCAGAACACTTGACTCAGAGGCCATGAATTTCAAAATTTTGTAAGAGGCAGCCTTGCTCATCATAATCATTCACTTAGTTTGCTTGCTTAATACCCAGGAGCAGTGAAGAAGATTTCAAAGAATTAATAGAGCCCCGCCATAACACCAGAACCCCTGATCCAGGGGCCATGAATTTCACAACTTTGGAAGATGCACCCTTGCTCATCATAATCATGCACTTGGTTTGCTTGCTTAATACCCAGGAGCAGAGAAGTCAGAATATATTTTCATTATATAATCAATAGAGCCCCACCCTAACACCAGAACCCCTGACACAAGTGCCATAAATTTCACAATTTTTGAAGAGGTGCCATTGCTCATTATAATCATGCACTTACTTTGTCTGCTAAATATACAAGGGGAGAGAGGAATCTTTTTTAAAGAATGCATGCATTTACACTAAAGATCAATAGAACCCCACCTTAACTCCAGAACCCCCCACCCAGGGGCCATGAATTTTACAATTTTAGTAGAGGCCTCACTGCTCAATGGTTTTTTTATATAGCCACACCTCTCAGGCATTAGGGAATTTGTTGTTCCCTTTTACCCATAGATGCTATATGCCAAAATTGGTTGAAATTGGTTCAGTGGTTCCAGAGAAGAAGCTGAAAAAGTTCAAATGTTAACACACAACTAATGAGAAGAGATAAAAACAGATAGCAATAGGTCACCTAAGTGACTCAGGTGACCTACAAAAATGTTAATCTGCTCCACAACTACATGTATATGACTGTAGTCCAGCTGTTATTGAGATATTTTAAAAATATTTTCCCTATTATCTATTCCATGTAAATTTTTACCTTTATTGTGCTCTCATTCTATCCATTTTTTTGTACATGCATTTCTAAAATCACAATTTCAAGTGGCACAAGAACTGCTTACATTTTGTCTCAATTTCAAGTGATAAATAATTAAATATATATACAAGACCCAATCACCTTGTCTGTTGGGTGTATAGAATTGCATTTTGCAAGTGAAATGTCTGCTTATGACTTGTATTGCATCGATTTCATTAATAAGTTTATGCTATTAAATTTCAAAATATTTAAAAATTGGATTAAAATCTTTCAGCACTTTGCACTTTTCTTCCAGTAGAAGCTATTCCAGTGGCTCCTCTGTAAATTGCAAATAACTTTAAGGAAAAGGTAGGGATTTTCAAATATAAATCAAAAGTTTGGACAATGCTTTGGTTCAAAAAAGCTGTAGTCTCATATTGCAATGCAATGAGCAAACAAATTTTCATAACATACTTTTCCATGTTACTCAATTTGTTATGCACATGCTGTTGCAGTTGCATACATGAGACAACATCTTTCAAAAAATAATAATTTAAGGCTTAAATGTACTTACTTTCTCATGAAGAACAAGATACATTGTTGTACTCTGATCTTTGGGTGCTAGTCTCACTCGCATAGCATTCACAATTGGTTTTATTGTGGCACCCTAAAATTAGACAAATCAGCAAATATTCAAATCACTATTGAGTGTAAAGAAAGTTTTAAAAAACATGGAATTAATTGTTTCTGTCTTTTAAAAGCCAGAATATACAGTATTAAAGTTTTCATACAGTTTTCATTGAATTATTGTTGTTCCTTGAAACATTTTAATTCTGAAATAGGGGATATGAAAATTTAATTTTCTTACACTTTGTACCCAAGTTCTGGGATGAATTGGACAACAAACTAAGGTATTTTCATTAGGATGGTTTCCACAGTTGACTTTTATTCAAATAAAATATTCAAATTTCACTTCAACAGAGTAGTTTCTGAAAACTAGTTTCGCAATTTCCATATTCACACCCTATTGGAAGGCATAAGCCTTATTCAACTGCATAAATTTAGATCCCAACCATCTTAAGACATTATAGATGTAAAATGTATTGGGAATGTTCTCGTTACTTATTGAGAGAATATAAAAAAATGACATCAATTGATATTATCTAAACATTGTGTACACACATGCAAACACAGATCAAAACTTACAGCGGCTACAATTTTCTTTGAGCCTTTGACTTGTGGTAAGCTAAAGAAAAAATGTTTTCCGCTTAATCCCCCCCCCCCCCCCCCCAAAAAAAATTCAAGTTGCAAACAAAAATTGTTTGTGTTACCTGGAAGAAGACGGTAAAGAGGATGATGAACAGAGTTGTGGTCACGAACATATCCTTCTCTTTAAACTCATTCTTGTCCAGCAGAGCCACCAGGGAAAAGCAAACAGCACCACGCAGTCCTCCATAGCTCTGCCAAAGAATAAACAGACAGTACACTTATCCTTGTATAGTTCTGTCACAAAATAGAAAGCAATGACATCTACTTATAGTTATATAGTACTCAGCTCTGCCACAGCATAAAGAGAGAATACATCTGAGTGTATAAAAGTTTACCACAGAATAAACAGAAAGGACTTGTATATATATAGCTCTGCCCCCCCCCCCCCCCCCCCCAAAAAAAAGAAAGTACATGATACTTATAGAATGGTATTCTCGTGTGAAAGAACAAGGTTCACTTTGGGTCTTTTTTGGCCCTGTGAATTTCTGAAAAATCAGATCTGCTCAGTTTTAATTGAAAATACATTATTAAATTTCACTTGGACCCTTGGTGACTGCATATCTATTTAAAATGAAGTAATTTTCTCACTAGCTATAGTCCATGTTTTACGATGTCATGAATTGCATCATTATTCTCAAATCCTGAAAATTTTTTCAAAAATGGTCAAAATTTAAAACTGTTTTTAAATATTTTGCATGGATTCCAACCTCTGATCCAAAGTATTCAATTATATAATGAAAGAACTGTTTCAGAAGATTATAATTAATCCATGTTTTATTTTTTTGGATTCATTGATTGAGGGGTGGGCTCATATTTTAATTCTTTGCTAAAGTTACTCAAATACACCCATTTTCTTTAAAATTCAAGAACTTGCAATTTCACAAAGCCTGTGTTTCAATACCTGGACCCTCAGAGGAAACTTTTTTTTATAGGAATAAAAGCACCAAGTCTCTACATTATATTGATGTTTGAAATGATACATTGGGACTTGGTCAATTATGGGAAGGGCCATTTTATGAATAAGTGAACCTAGCTCTATGAATAAAATTCTAATCCATTTCAAGCCCCAGAAGCCATGAAATGAACAAATATGAATCTGCACTAAATATTTTTCCATTATATTCCAAATGAATATTTGGCCTCACCTAAAACCCAGGGGCATTGTTTGAATAAATTTGAATCTGCACTATCTAGGGATGCCTGCAAAATAATAATTATATTGTTGCCCTATTGTTCTTAAAAAGCTTCTTTTTTTTTTTTTGGAAAATTTTTATCTGCATATTTCCATTTAAAAATTTAATAACCTATTTTGGCCCTAACCTTCCCCTAGGGGTCATGATTTAAACAAGAAGCCCATGGGCCATAATGCTCACCTGAATCACCTTGGTCATCTGCTATTCTGAGGTTTTTTATTTTTTTCTCCTCTTTATGCCTATGAAAATTTTGACATCATTACGGCCCTATCACAGGGATTAAGACCAAACTGAGCTCAAATCAACACAACATGGAGATGCTTCAATATCAATGACTAAAATAGCCTTGCTGTTCTGGTGAAGAGAATTTCTTAAGGATTCATTTTATTAACTTATTGTGCTCCTACCCTACCCAAGGGGTCTTGATTTGAACAAACTTGAATCTGCCAACCTGAGGAAGTTTGCATATTAGTATGATGTATCAAGGTCGTGATGTTTTTGAGATTTTTTTCAAATTATTGTCCTTTATATTCCCTTGAAAATTTGTGATCCCATATTTCGGCCATGCCCTACCTCCAGGGACCACGATTTCTTAAAAAAAAATTAATCTTTTCTATGTCAGGCAGCTTTCACATCAATTAAGTTTCTTTTCTGGGCCAGTGTTTCTTGAGAAGTTATATGATCCCACCCTATTTTGCCTTTATTGTTTATCTCCCCTGGAAAGGGACACAGTCCTTTATTTCAACAAACCGATATCTCCTTGACCAAAGGAAACTTTGTGCCAAGCTGGGTAGAAATTTAGTTGTAATTTGTTCTATGAAAGTTGAAAATGTGAACAGTATACATGTATAATGGTGACAACAACATACAATGGACAAAATTTGATCAGAAAACCTCTGGTTGAGGTGAGCTAAAATTATTAGGTGTACTTTAATATTTCAACTATCATACCAAATTTTGCTAAGCACTACACAAATTTCAAATTCTATGAAATTGTTCTACCATTTTACATACAATGTATATATATGACACAAATTGACCAAATCATGGTGATATCCAAATGAGTTATCACATGATGAAGGTAAATTATGCATCAATTGACATAGATTATCAATTCTATGGCCCTCACAGATATCTTTTATTTCTAGCTCTGGTAAGCTTAAATGTATTGCTAAATAATACAAAAATTGAAAAATAAATTTTTGTTTTACCATAATAAACATTTCATCAAATCCTATCTTGCGGACTCTGTATGTATCAAACTTGTTGATTAGGAAGGTGAGTCCATACACAACTGTAAACAATAGAATCACTAGTTGAATAATTTTACATGTTGTTTAAATCCTTTTAAACTTATTTCCTTTATCATCAGAATTTTTATACATAAGAGGAGCATCAAGATTACATTTCTATACATAATTAATATTCAACCATTTATTAATTATATATACTGGTATACCCGGTATAACTTTTGCATGCAAAGTGAGAAGTAACATGTAAATATTTCTCCATTCATCATGACTTAATTTACATAAATATATCTATTCCGCTTCAGACAAATTTATGGAATATTGATTGGCTAAAAACAGATCACATAACACCCTAAAATTTTCTAATACATCATCTCTGAGCAGGGATTGCATTAAAAATCGGGCATGAGATTCTGTTCTACATGTATCTACAGACCTGCCTACCCTTTTTATTGCGAGGGTGTAATTTCAATACTCATTTTGGTGGAATTTCAGGGGTAAAGGCGTAATCCTTTATGTGTTTCCCTAGTTTAATGTTTTGCAATGATACTATATTGTCACAATAAACCGATAATTGTACATGTACATCACTGAACAAAGCAAGCATGTGTGTTTCTTTTTCAATTAGTTCATTGACAAAAAGTCCATGTGTTGTAAAACTGGTACCCTAAATGCAGTCATATCAAACTTATTTAAACTTACATGATTAATGAACGTTTGGTTAACTTCTAGCAAATCACACAATTCAGAGTAACATTTCCACATTAATACAAATTCTACATTATAGCACTTTGTTGTTTTTGTTTTCTATACATTTACTTGTCTCTATGATGTTCTGACAATGCAAGAATAATCTGATTTGAAAATTGAACTGACTTTACTTATTGCGCATATCATCCAATAGTTTTCTAATCTTGGCATGCCAACCGTTTCAAAGGCATATTATAACTACAAGATATTACGTATGATTTTTGTATGGTAAATATACATATCGTGAAGAATCGAAATCCTCTATTAATAAGTATTATTTACCTTTTCGTTTTCACTTAGGGACGCCTATACTTTATTCCTAAGTTCACCTTTCATTCAGAAGTTTTCTAGAGGAAATGTTTAAAAGCGTAAAATTAAATTTCATGGCGTAACAGCGTAATTTTGTGGTAAAAAGCAGAAGAATTAGGCCAAAAGAGGAAGGGTAGGCAGGTCTGTATCTATGTAAACAATGGCGGCAAGCAAACTGTTTGTTAAAATTTAGTGTTCATATCTTTAACTGTGGTGAAGTAATACTGAAAGATATGATCTTCAATGATATTTAGAATTATATTTTATTTAAAATGTTACTAACCTTAAAACATATCTTGTAAAGGTCTTCAGCGGGACAAATTTGTTACACAGTTACCGGTAGTTTGTGATGTTATATGGAGTCATCCAGGGTGTGAAATTTAAATCTGTTTTGGTATCCTGCTTCACCCCACCCAAAACAGATTTCCATTTCATACCCTGGATGACTTGGTATTAATATGTCACAATCTAACTGTGTAACTAATAATATACAGTCATGTAATTCTTTTATATATCACCAAAAAATAATACAGCACCAAAAAGAACTTGACCTTAACCAGTCCATAAACAGATATCATTGATAGAGACAGAAAATCTATAAATTTTTTTAAGTTATCATTCACTAGAAAGTCAATACACTGTTCTTTAGTAATCAAAAATGGTAAAACCGTTTGTTTCTGATGCAGACTAGGTAAAAAGGAAACAAGTGATGAATTTAATGAAAACTAAGCAACACAAAGGCTGCCAATTTAATGAAAGCTATTTAGTAGGAAGCTAGAAAACAATTTAGAATTTTCTGATCTGGCTGTAATAGAATTACTTTTGATAAAGCCAGGTTACAACTGTCAGCAACTTGAATTTTTCAGACCATTAATACCTGAATACATGTATTTGTCATCAGTGGGGTAAATTCATAATATATCATGTCATGAGTGACCAGGTACGTGACACAATGATACCTGGTTAGTACATTTCATGCCAGGCTCGGCTTGATCTTACCAGGTATCATCCCGTACACAGTCAATACATGACCATCCTACTAATAAAACACTACACATTACTTGTTTCCTCTCACCTTACCTAAAAATCTGAATCCAATACACAACACCAAAGTCCACAGAACAAAGCCTGTCCGCCAGTCATGATCTGTAACCAGAGCCAGACCCAGGAACAGAAAAATGATAATCTCTGATGTATTGCTGAAATACATGGTTTTATGTTAATACTCAATGTGTTGATCTGTCATCATACAAAATATCCTTTATTCAAAAATACAATATTTGACCTTTTAGAGTGATGATCTTGAGAAATAGCAATGACCTTGTGTAATTTGTTCTGAAATCTTTTCAGTAATTTGTTGTTGCTTCTTATTTCTTTGACTTTCTTTCACTGTTTATTTATCACACCTTGTACAGGATTAATGTACAAGTTTACATAAGAAGCATTTGTTTTACTCAACACTATTTCTAACAAGTTTTGATATTTTAAAGTTTTTTATAATTAAATAAGAAGATTTGAGGATAAAAAACTTTCTTACATAGTTTTACCACTATTACCTCAATACTTTTGAGAAGTATTTGATTGCTACTTTGGATTTTGGAGTTATGTTATTAAAGGCGTAGGCAACTTGCACCAGTCCACAGCCTATAATACTGCCAAAAAATAAATTACACATTAAAAGTTCATCAGTTGAAAACACTAAATTAGATTTATAATGTAGGCATACTTTTTCTGCTGAGTCAGAATTCAACATTTACATAAAAATTATCAAAACTGGAGACCAACACCTGGAGGTTTCAATAAAGTCTGCATGGACTTTTTTAGACCATGGTCTTCTGATTTTCATTCAGAATTAGGGTTGGGAGGGTATAAAATTTACACCTTGGTTGAAGAATGTGTCTAGAATTGGGGAGTGAAAGGTAGTTGATTGACCAATGCTGGAAAGTGGAGAAATTCTCCCCAACCTTGTGCAGAAAATCTTGCACTGTAAATTGCACCTTATTTGCATTACGGGATCTGTAGCGTTATGGTCAAAGACTAAAATATAAAACCACAACGCTACAGTTATACAGCTACTTAAGTGATTGCTTAATTTGAACACAAAAAAGTTTAATATTTAGAAATCTGTTAGCGCACAATAAATTTTAGCATCCTGGGGCTCTTGCGCCAACAGCGTTAAAAATTAGTAGGGCGTCATATTTTCTCGTTTTACAGTATTTAAATTTAAAAAATGTCTTTAAGAATACTGATACAAAATTCTGCAGATATTTTCTAACCATGGACTTCATATAAATATGTATCACATGCCATATTATTTCTGATATGATTAAATTACTTACCAAATAATTCCTGAAAATTCAAACAACTCTGCAAGGAGAAAAGCTAAGTATGCCATTCCAAATATAGCTATGGGTTCAACCACTGCAAAAAAATAAACAAAATATAAATAATAATAAAAATCTATTTAAGCAAACAAATGGATAAAATTCATTTCATAATTGAAAACATAGGCAATCAAAGCTAAATAGTCTCATGATCGAGAAATGGACCTGCTGCGAAAAAATTCCTCTGAGACAGAGACAGTGCCACCAACATCAGGGGATATGGCATTAGCTCTCCATGTTGAAGTGAGCTAAACTTGGGGCATCAAGAATACATTTCTCTATTACATGTAACAGCTCGTGTCTCATATTAGAACAGACCTGTCTACCCCAAACAATTTATCAGTAGTTTTCTAACAAGTTGTCCATAAGATGTGACTTTGATGCAGAAAATTTTCTATACTTTCAATGTAGAACACTTAACTGAACTCGTATAAAACAAATAATTCATTGTTGTGCAAGTAATTGCAGAAAGCATGGCTGAATATGTTACATGTATCCATATAGACATGATGAAACTTAGGATAATTACTCAAGAAGTAGAAATGCAAAAATATCTCAACATTAAAATTCTCTGTTTGTCAATCACGGTCTTGAATTTTGCAAACCCATTTGTGTAGCTATACTCATTGTAATGTAAACAAAAATTAGTGAGAATCTGGAAATTGGGAGAATTGCACTGGCATTTAAATCAGAGAGCATATTTAGGGGGTCAAGAATGGTAATAATTATGGGTGAATAGGGAAAATAGGCAGGTCTGTTAGTTGTGCACAATTTAGAGTCTTGAAAAATGTTTTAGAAGCAATCCTGGTAAGAAGCAATTAACTGACATTGACTACCTTTGACTGTGTTGGTGAACTTGGTAAGTACAGCTGATAGGCACCCCACTAGTATCCCAATAACAAGACCTCCAGCACATACAATTATAAACTTCACAATACCCAACACAATCTGAAACATGTTATAATACACATAGTTACTAGGGTATGAAAGGTGGAGAAACATTAAACAAGAGGACCAAGACCCACAATGCTCACCTGAGTCACTATGCCCCTGCTATTCTTCATCATCAGATTTTTTACTCTCTATATTCCTATGTAAAACTATGATTTTCTACTAATCATCACTTTGCTAATCTTGAGAGGAGATTTTTAAAGACTTGTTTTCCTATATAGTCTTATGTAAAACTTTGATTGCCTATTGTGGCCTCACCCTACCCCCAGGGGCTATGATTTGAAGAAACTCAAATCTACACTTCCTGAGGATGCTTCCAGTTTGAAGTGTCAGTTTGATAGCATCAGGTTAACAGTTTGGTACAACAGGAACTATGAGATAAGCAAACGGAAACAACAAACCTTGTTTCAGTTTGCTTTTTATTTGCCAATCGCCTATATTAGGTTCATTAATACTCTGCTAAGAGGTAACTGTTAATGACATTAATGTCTATTATTCCTTTAAAAATTTGTCAAGTTGAAATGTCTTTATTGTCTAATTTGCCTCGCAAGCCATGATACAACTGTTTTGGAAAATCATAAGCATTAAAACAACATTTTATATGAGTGAGCAGAGGGTTTATGAACCTTAATTACATGTAATGTTATGGAATAGTGAATTCCCCCAAGCTTAGTAGTCCTCATACCAGTGAATGTTTAGAGAAAATTTAAACTCCAGCTTTGCTGTTCTTGCATGAGAAAAACATTTTTAAAGATTTTTTTCCTATATATATATATATATATATATATATATATATATATATATATATATATATATATATATATGTATTTATATCACTGTTTTGTTCTCCGTTTGCAGTCACAGCTGACACATTTGATCAATGAATCAGAAACACAGAGATGTAAAACTTTGTTCACTCATTGTGGCCCCACCCTACACAAGGAGGTGATGATTTGAACAAAGAGGATGGACATGTTTGGCGTGTGATCTGCAGGAATAAGGCGTACGAAACATTTATAGTTTAAATGTCTACGATTTGGTCGGTTGACCACAGCTGGACATATTTTACAAAGTTACGCACATGAAAAAATGTTACATTTAGTTTGAAATACTTTGCCAAATTTAATATATCAGTCCGCTTATCTTAATAATTACTACATCTAAAACTTAGTAACGTTTCACATAAATAATAAACACATATAGGGTATAGTTCAATGCAATTACAAGTACATACTTGTGTATATTAAAGTATCAGTAGGTTTGAAGAATTGCTTTCGCTTTCAGTGCAACAGAACCAGAATTTATCTATTTGAAAATAAATCAGTTCATAAAATTAAACTGACAAAAGAATTGATTGTTTGTACTAAAAAAAAAATATTAACGCTCCATGCGAGGATTGAACCAAAAATATTTCTTTTTCATTGCACTGGACGGGTAACGCATACTACTGAGCTATCACCGCTACTCACAGTTTAAAGTTTTTAAAGCGACAATGAAGCACCGCATTTACACATTGGAATTTTTTTTGGAAAAAGTTCATTTTTTATTGTCTCTGGGTCTTCTCTTCATTTTTTACAAATGTTTGTTAGTTTCTTTGAATTAAAATACACACAAATAACGTTTCAAAATCATGGAGAGATGACCCAGAGATAGCAAATTTTCAGAAAAACGTGTTTAAAAATGTAACATTTTGTACCAAATGACTCATCTAGCCAACTTTCAAGTTCTTTTTTAGCAAATCAAAATACAATATCGGGAAAATATTTCCCTTTCCTATTTCACAGGAACCCGATACATCAAAAGAATGCTAAAATTCCATGTGACAGATCAATGAAATTTTCACTTTTCAAGTGCGCCCAGATTCCTGCCGAATGCCAATCAAAAGTGCCCTCGTTCTTTGAATCTACACTTTGTAAATAAAGCTTTCATATACACTTTATCTTTCTTGGGTCAGTGGTTATTGAGAAGAATATTTCTGAAAAAGCCATTAAAATTTCACTAATTCTTAATTATCTCCCCTTGAATGGGGGCGAGGTCCTTCATTTGAACAAACTTGAATCCCCTTTACTCAAAAAGCTTTGAGGCAAATTTGGTTGAAATTGCCCCCAAGGTTCTTGAGAAGTCGAAAATGTGAGTTACAAAAAGAATGATTATCTGATGGACAGAAGAAAATGGACAAAATGTGATCAGATAAGCTCATCTGAGCTTTCAGCTCAGGGGGAGCTAATCATTAAAACATTTAGAAGCACTCTATTATAAAACTGGCACTCCTGGGTTTTAAGCAACATTTTTTAATGACAGGAAAAAGCATCAAATCAAGTTTTAGTATAAGATGATATACTGTGGAATCATTAGATTTCATGGTGGCACAACATCTGTGGAATTCGTGGGTACCCTGCATCCACGAATTCACATCCCTGACAAATTAATAATTGCCAGGGGTCATACGAGCCATCTTTCCTTTCGTAGATATGAGTGAATACACAAAATTTTGCCCCCACAAACCTGTAAAATTTAGGCAATCCAAGAAAATTGCCCCCCCCCCCCAAAATTTTAATGATTCCACAGTATAGGGATCAACACTCAATCCCCCTAAATGTATAGAAGACTTGGCAATCAGATTGAGCAGTCAAGTAATGAAACATTGGTGCCTAAAAGGACTTTAGGTTGCCCAGAGAAAATTGACACAATTTTAAAACAATCACATATTTTAAGAAATGCATCTCATTGTAACTTAAACTGAAGAATTGGGTGAAAAGGAGCAGATAACTCTTACCTGAACAGCATCAATTGTCCCCCCTCCTTCTTGTAACCTGTTGTATGTCTGCATCACATTATACAACACAACAGTTACACCATCTGAAAGCCAAACATATTTATGTATTTTTGTTTGATAGCAAAAGGTATAGTCATCAGGATACATTTTACCAATGTTTAAAGCAATTCATGTATATGATTAGAGTGATAATAATGGTAAAAATGACTGGAATAAAAAAAAAAATTTAAATAGTTAACTGATGCACTTTCTTTCTAAAGATTAAATTGCTCCTCCATTATTCACATACACAAAAAAAAATCACTGGACAAAAACATTTTTTCTATATAAATTGGTTTCAATAATATTTTCATGCAAATTAAAACTGATTGGTCAATAAAACCTACCATTTAGTAAAGATTCCCCAAACACAAGGAAATACAGGGTAGGATTAATACCCACCTCTGTAAAGACTGCCAGGACCTACATTAATCAAATACACATATATCACAGTGTAAATATACATGAAAATGTAATTAGTGCTTATACTGCAAATTCAGAGAATTGAAGTCACCTGCTTTCGGGGTCTTATTGGTTGGGTGCTATGGCTTATTGTAACTGTCTCTTTTGTCCTGGTTTATCTGCCCATCAGGCAAAGAAATGTTTTATATTTTGAAAGGATGTGTAATATTCTTTATAAAAAATATGAAAGCCCTGTCTCTTCAGGTGCAAGAGCTATGATCAATGTAAAACTTTTGAAAAGTAGATCTATCAAGGTCATGAGGTCAGAAATCATCATATGGGGAAAGGTCTTGTCACAGGCTATTGTCAAGTAAAATTATAACAGCCATGTGTCTTCAGGTGCAAAAGCTACAGACAAATTAAAAAAAATTTTTGGAAAGTAGTTGAGACTTCAAGGTCATGGGGTAAAAATTATGGAATTTTTATAAAGGTCTTGTCACAGGTACATGTAATGCACATGTGAAATATAAAAGCCACATCTTCTCTCTATTAAAAGTAATGACCAAGGTTAAAATTTTTGAGACAGACTGACAGACAGATGCACAGATGAATGAGATTCAATGTCCCTGCACTTTTGTGAACAGGGTGGACAAAAATCAAACTTAAGATATGCAGGTACAATGTTTATATGAATTTAGAAGGATTCATTTTGTGTTCTACAGCTTGCCCATATTTGAGAAGCTTTCATAATTGTGCATATAATTTTCACTATGTAATTGATTAAAATTTGTAACTTCAAGACTACATAATAAATGCAAAAATAACTGATTTCTAAAAAACTAAGATAATAAACAGGGAATGTTTGATATTTCTAATTGCTGTACATCTTTCTTTTATAGGAAATGTTCTATGTTTGAGAAATAAACTTCATAATTTCTATTTATTTTAAAATTATACGTGCAAATAAAAGTTCAATATAACATGCACATACTGGTACATACAATTGTAATTAAACAATATCATTCACACAATGGCAAAATATAAATGATAGGATTGGATAATACTGACTGCCACTGGGTCCACTGCTACTATAAGGGAGGAGAAGACAAGTATCTGAATTAAGGGGATCTGTGATATAGCTCCCATAGCACCAGCCATCATCAACCCATACAATGTCAGTCCTTTATACAGCAAAGTGAACAGGAAATATTAAAAAAGTTACAAATCTAATAAAACTACAGTGTCCACGCTTAAAATGCAGCATAATACAGCGAACAAAATGTTATAGATATGGATATACATACCTATTAAGAAACATGATATCGTTGTTCCCTAAAATAACGGAAATAGAAAATTAATAAGTGCACCTCAGAAGCACATGATATGACTTTCAGGAAAACAGGTTATAAAAAATTACTTAAGAGCCATGATTTAACATGCATGAAGATGATTCTACGCCTGACCTTGTGCAACATATGATCTCAGTGACTATGTAAACTAAACAAATTCCAAAATGAAGTCACACTGACCTACTTCAAGTTCTCCCCCCCCCCCCCCACCAATCCAAGATGCATCATCTGACAATTAAGACTAAATTAACACTTGAAAGCCTCAGAGTATGAAAATTATTACCGGAAATGATTTGACATGTAACATATATAAAATGCAAAATTGAGGTCACAGCAACCTACTTTTGGGGTGGACTATCCCTCCCCTCAATACACATCAATTGACAAAGTTGATGATGCCAGCTCTTGCACTGTTTCAGAATATGATCTGAAAATCAATATAATGCCAAACTGAGGTCACAGAGACCTACTTGTTACTTTTGCATTGTGTCATTATACAACCAAGATGCATTAACCAACAAGGTTTGAAGGTGTAGGCCAAACATAACCTAAAAATATGACATGGACTATATCATAATATCAAATGCATGCATATTAAAAGACGACCAGGAAAATTTTTTATTTATTTTAAAAAAATTCAATGAGCCACTTACAGAATATAAATTAATTCTTTATGATCCCTAAAGTTATTCAAACATTCTGCTGACAATTAGGTTTCTTTGTGTTGATTTAAAATATTAGATGTAAAGCACATGAATAATAATTGAGGAAATTAAAAAATACCTAGGAGCAGAGAAGATTTTAAAAGAAATAATGCATTTTCACTATATAATCAATAGAGCCTCCCTCCTTCTCACAGAACCCCTCACCCTGAGGCCACAAATTTCACAATTTTGGAAGAGGCACCACTGATCATCATATCCATACACCTAGTTTATCTGCTTTATATACAGGGAGAGAGAAGAAGATTTTTAAAGAATTTAAACATTTTCACTACATGATCATTAGAGCCCCATCATAACTCCCGAACCCCGACCCTTGGGCCATGAATTTCACAATTTTGGTAGAGGGCTCAATGCTTATTACAATCATTCCAACAGTACGACTGCTTGATGTCCAGGAGTAAAGAAGAAGACATTTAAAAATTGCACTCATTCTGATGGTTTTGGCCCCACCCATAAGGCCCAGGGGGTTGGGGGTTGGCAGGGTTCATGAAATTCACAATTTCCATTCCCCTTCACTCATACATGTTCTAAGCAAAAATTGGTTGAAATTGGTTCTGTGGTTCCTGAGAAGAAGCTGATAATGTTCATATGTTAACGGACAATACACATAGCACAATGAGAGACAAAAACGTATAGCAAAAGGTCACCTGAGTGACTCAGGTGCTGAAAGGGAGAGAGTGAAAACTTCATTCCAGACTGAACACAAATGTAATATGAGGGATTTTGGCCATATGATTTTAAGAGGCTTGCAGAATATTTATTTATTAATGTTTAATACAAGGAGAGTAGAATAGATGATTCCTTCAAATAATAGTCATGCTTTTTCTTTGACTTTAATACTAAAATATAACAGTTATTTGTAATAATCAAAATTGATTTCAAAAAATTTTCATCATATATTTGGTCCCAAACAAACTGTAACTTCCAGTGACAGCTAGTATGAGAACAGGTACTTCCTAGATCGTAACCATACCAAACACACTGTAACTTACAATGACAGCCAGTATCAGAACACTTCCTAGTTTGTAACCATACCAAACACACTGTAACTTACAATGACAGCCAGTATCAGAACACTTCCTAGTTTGTAACCATACCAAACTCACTGCAACTTACAATGACAGCCAGTATCAGAACACTTCCTAGATTGTCTGCAAATGTTTTGTCATAAAGGCTGAAGGAGGCTTCCAATATAATACTGCAAGAGAAAATGAAAACCATGAAATTTTCAGATTACATGTGTGCAAAAGCTATTCTATACAAATTACATAATTCAACCCTCTCTTGTGGCCCCGCCCTACACCTGGGGGTCATGATATGAATAAATTTGAATCTAGAGTATGTAATGAAGCTTTCACATAAGTTTCATCTTTTCTTGCACAGTGGTTCTTGAGAAGAAGATTTTTAAAAGATGCCATAAAATTTTCATGAATTCTTAATTTTCTCCCCTTGAAAGAGGGTGTGGCACTTCCTGTGAACAAATTCACATCCCTTTCACCCACGAATGCTTTGTGACAAGTTTGGTTGAAATTGGCCCAGTGATTCTTGAGAAAAAGTTGAAAACATGAAAAGTTTACAGACACCAGACGGTCGCCAGACACTCTTTGATCAGAAAAGTTCAAGTGAGCCTTCAGCTCAGGTGAGCTAAAAAAGTGTTTTTTCTTCAGGGAACATGCATTATTTTTAATTTGAACACCCCCCCCCACCCCACCCCTTCAGCCCCATTCTAAATATAAAGTCCATAATTTGGAGAAAAGAAACTTGAATCCGCAGAACTTGGGTATATTTGCTACTAGAACAATTTAGTGTGACCCTAGCTGCTACTCCTGAAAAGAATTTTCTCTTTGATTTTCTGTATACTGTACAATGTATTCCCATGTAATACTCTCATCCATTATTGTGGCCTCATCCAATCCCCAGGGGGCCATCATTTGAACATACTTGAATCTGCACTACCTGTGGATGACTATATAATAAAATGACTAATCATGGTCTTGCAATTCTTAACAAAAAGATTTTTAATTTTTTCACCTCAACATAGTCCAATGTAGGGCTTTGATGATCCCATATTATGACCCCCACCCTTTCCAGCTGTTCTTAGGAAAGATTTGTAAAGATATTTTTTTCCAAGTTACCATCTTTAAATTTGAACCAGTATTTTGGCCACATCCCATCCATGTGGGTCATAATAAGATCAATCTTGAATCCACATTACCCAAAGATGTTTGAATAATGACTAATAATGGTCCTAATGTTCTTTATCAGATTTTTTTCCAATGTTTTCCAACATTAACTTTGAACTCATATTGTGGCCCCATCCTACCCTTTGGATCCTTGAACGAATTTGAATCTGCACTATCTGTGGATAGTGCATTTTAATACTACTAATAATAATCATGGCCCTGCTGTTCTAAAGAGTATTTTTAAAGGATGTTTTTAGATAAGTTTTATCTTTTCTTGTCCAGTGTTTCTTGATATTTTTAATGAGCCCCACTCTATTTTTACCTTTTCTTCATTAATCTTCTTTTTGGAAGGGGGAATATGGCCCCTCATTGAATAAATCTGAATTTCCTTTACCCAAGAATGTTTTCAACCATGTTTGGTTTAGATTGGCCCAGTGGTTCTTGAGAAGAAGTAAAAAATGTGTAAATAGGCTGAAGAGTGGATAAACAGATAGTTGGATGCCTGACAAAATCTCATTTGAGCTTAAAGCTTAGGTGAACTAAAAACAAAAGGCTTAAATTTCCTATTAGGCACTAGAGTAAAACTCTTCATTTGTACTGAAAGTGTCATTTAAAATATGTGTACATTCTGTACACAGCTCTGTTTTGAATACAATGTTTGTTTTCACGGTAGAATAAATCCATACCACTAAAGTAAAATTAAGTAAAACTGTAAATAATCAATTAAGGTTTGAAAATTGTGAAATTCTACATGGATTTTCATCTGTTGACATGAATCTGTGTATATAACATAGCAGTATAGACTTGAATACATAACAGACTTACGGTGGTAGAAGGTAGTGAAAGAAGATCTCTGGTGTAAAAAAATCAGGAAAACTCTCATTAGCTCCTATTCCTCTGGAAATAAACAGAATTAAAACAATTGACAGTTTTCTTTAAATCTTACAAACTTCATATGATCAATATGGACTTCTCAGGTGCCTAATATGGTCTAACTATATTAACTATCTTAAAAGTCCATAATAATTTTTTGTCCCAATGGTCCAGGATTGAATTAAAAAAAAAAAGACATTGAGGACTCCATAGGGACAAAATTTTCATCAAAGAACTTCTGTCACAAATAGATTTGATAAGTCCATTCAAATTAAATTACAAATGCGTTTTCCTCTGATATCATTTTCCTTCAGAATGTTTAGTGCACAACTATTAGCTTCCCTATTGGCTAAATCAAAACATTTTTCCTGATCAGTTCCAAAGCTGTTTCCAACAGTGACAGCCACTGTTTATTACATTATATATGAGATATTGTTTGTGACATTAAAATCACTGCTGCTCAAACACTGCTCTAATTTGGTTAATATTGCTTCAAAAACACTGAATATTGGGATTGCAACTATATATAAACAAACTATATATAAAAAATAAAATAGAAACTTTGCATGAGTTAAATTAAAATGGAAATTAATTTCACCATGTTAATTAAATACAAATATCTATCCCTGATGTACATAATTTTCTTTCATCCTACACTAAGTGTGTACACCCTAAGAATTGCCCTCTTAAATAGCATTATATTCAAGGAGACAAGAAAGGTATACAAATTATCTTTCAGTTTTATATACTTACAAGAATAAAATGGATCCAAATATGACCCCTAATATGATGAGAAGACTGAAACAAATAAGCAATATCATATACATTTGTCAAACACAATGTAATGAAATACAGCATCCTTTTGACAAAAGTTTAACAGCTAGTGCCTATTTTTTGTAATGTATGATGTATCCAATCAAGAAACATATAGCATACTCAGTGTTACAGTTACGTACAGATCTATTTTTTTTTTAATTGGATACATTACAAAGTAATATTCAGCTCTTTCATCTTGCTATCAAGACTGCTAAATAATATACTCTTTATTATAATAACATACAAGATTGAGAAGTCACAGAATTACCACATTAATTATCATCATTTATATGAAGATTGGATGCATAGTCTTTAATTTTGTAAATAAAGGTTTTAATTTTTTTCAAGTTCATGTAAATTATAATATGTAAAGCAAACCTTATTTACTCTAGTCTATAGGTAACATGACAAAAGAAATTCAATAACTTTATAAACTTTTAATATCATTCACTTTAACAAAGTGGAATATCTTATGAATTTATTTATTAATCGTAATTAAATTTATCATTTTTTTTGGGGGGGGGGGGGGGGGGAGGTGTGTGTTAATTTTTTAAAAAGCAAATCCTGTCATTAAAATTGAATAAAAAAAAAAATTAATAATCACACAGACAACTCATTACACAAAGTAGGGAGAGAACTTGTGTATGACAGAAGGATCAACCTTTTTATGGGACTTCACTAGGACAATCAAGATATACTAACCAAGATTCAGGGACCCTTGAAGATACAACATCTGCATGGTGAAATCCTGCATTGAAAAGAAAAAAAAAACAGTTTATACAAAATATCCAACAAAAAATGCAGCAATGATAAGTATGTATTGCTCATACATGTCACATGAAAGACCCAATTTTAAAGGGTATTAAATCATATTTTAGAAAATAATAATAATATATATATATGGGTGCACTTTGTGGACAACTATACAGTAGACTGAATAGAAAAGCATACAGTAGATGTTCTTCTGCATGCTCAACAAATCAAGTTTATATGCTACAAGAAATAACCAAAATAATGGTTTTCTATTATAATAATTAACATCTTTTTTTTCATGCAGATATGGATCCGATGTAAACAATAAAATGTCTTGTAATAACTGCAACCATTGCAGAAAAAAATAACATACTAGTAACCCACTTTGATACCTCAGTATGTATCTTTGATTGCAACCATTCATTTCCTTATTAACAAAGAAAACAATTTATTGCTTTAATAACTATTTCATTTATGACACACCTTGCACTAAATTCATAAAATACAGACCCTAAAACGTGCTACTACACCACTTGCACTGTTCGGTTCGTTTTGTGTACGGTACGATATATTACGCTTCTTGCACAGAACGGTACGCTTTGTGAACGGTACGGTTCGCTTTGTGCACGGTACGGTACGCTTCTTGCAGGGTATGGTTCGCTTTGTGCACGGTACGGTACGCTTCTTGCACGGAACGGTTCGTTTTGTGAACGGTACGCTTTGGTGAACAGTATGTAAATTAAGTGGGCGGAGCCTGTACGCTTTAGTTTATGATTGGCTAACTTCATAGAGTCCATAATCTCTTTATTTTATATAAATGGAAGGATGGTATCGCAAGCATTTTTAATAAGTTGTTTTTTTTAAGTTAAAGTTGTTATAAATATTTCCTTTTTACAGCTGTATTTTCATTATTACATGTAACTCGTTGTCTTATTAACTGTGTCTTTTTTTAATTTACTTTCTGTATGAACTACTTTCAATTTTTAAAATAAAATAATTTTATTTGTCCATTTATTATCTTATTTTGTACACCATCGCCTTATGGTTCAATAACTTGGAAATAAATCGAACATATCAACAATCACTGCATAACAAGGATGAAAAAAATATTTTGGTTGCATCGCCATAAAGGCCTTTCTGTATTTTTTTTTAAAGAATAAGCATACATATGTTTTTTTTTCTTTTAATTTTCCTATTGAATACAATTTTGATATTAAATATTCACTTATCACACTTTTAAAGAAATGAGTTTGATTTTATAAATCCCTCGATCATTCTTTCATTTCGTCTACCATTCTTTTTACGATCTTGTCGCTGTTGCTTCATAAAGAAAAATTCTCTTGACCGAATGATCAAACAAACAGAATGATCAAACAAACAATTAAAAAATAAATTATTATTTTCATATTTATTTGCGAGGAATTTTAATCTTTTTTTTTTGTTACATAGATTGCTTAGGTGTTTTGCTCACTAGAAAAAATACATTGAAAAGTAATCGGTAGAAGTGCACACAATTTGTGCAAAATATTACTTAATTTTTGTCCGCGTAATTGTTTTCCTTTTTAAATAAATTTTCCATCAATGTGTAAAAATGCTTTTTAAAGGGAAGTTACAATCAAGAAAACGGTTAAGACAGCTTCAATTCCATCTACAATGTATAAATGTATATCATAAATATTGACTGCAAAGAAAGATTTCCAAAATAAATAATATGTCAAAATGTTAAGTTTAAATAGTCCGTTTTCAATTACCTAGAAAATAAATAATATGCAGCCATGCAAGTCCTCAAAAACTTTGAAAATGAATAATTTGCCCATGCTCGGTGCTACCTCCCCCCCCCCCCCCCCTTTGTTTCCTTCTCAAACTCAAACTTTTTTTTATTGAAAATCTAGAAGAAAAGCTGACTGCACATGAAATTCTACTTATCTGCTGATTAAAACTGGTTCATTGTTGTAGACTTACTGTATATAAGACAGCAGACTGTTGATGCACTTGTGAATGTAGGCATATCTGCATTAACGGGATTAGATACGGTTCAATATACACAAATTTTTACCTGTGCACGTGTGATGACAATACTATATCTTGAATTTCTTGAATTTTCAAATGTTTTAGAGTAAATAACAAAAGCAAACGCCATTTTCACAGTATTTGTGTTTTTTCATACTCACTTATGTTATAATGCACTCTGCATCAAAATATATGATTAAACCCTTAACAATAATGACCAAATTATGACAAAATGGTACCCCTAACAAGTTAAATGATATATAACACTCCCATGTTCTAGACAATAAAAATATTAAAGATTTACTACCTAAAATATGGGGTATATTTTGCGTTATGCTGTTGCAGCTGAAAAATGGTTTTGTTTTCCAGTTTTTGTTTCAGGAGATTTACAATAGAAACTCTTAGTTATAGATGTCAAATCATTGTGAAATTATCCTTCTTTTATCTGCAATTTACTGTATGTAAATCAACAAAATATTAGCGAAATAATGTTTAAATATGTGAAAATGCAGATATGTTATGAAATTTAATATAATTCTACTGTTTGAACTTGCAGTTTAAAAAAATATATGTTAATGCATTACTCTTACTTAAGGTTCATTTTAAAATTAGAGTTAAATGATAAATGAAACAATAAAGAAAAGTTTGAGTGGATTCTTCGAAACTTTAGAAAATGATACATTTTCTTCTCACTGGCATAAAAATGTCCCAAAATTCTGTATTGTCCGCAACATATGCTTATTCTGGAATGCATTATGAATTATATTTCTTTTATTTTACATGTAAGAGGTCAGTACAGCTACTAATCTATCTACCAAAAAATATCAGACTTTAGCTCAGTGTTGCTTGGAATTCTGGCAAATATATTGTGTTTTGTAGAGTCCGCAACACTGTAGAGTCCGCAACAGCTTTTTAAATTCACAGTTTCTTCAAAGAAATGTAACATGATTTCAATTGATCATCACTATAATTGTCCAAATATTCAATACAAATATGTAAGGTTACAAAACTTAGTGGAACTATAACTTCATACTTTGAATAACACCCATAACGACTTGTTTATACATAATATTCAAAATCTTTCAATTGTCAGTCTTATGTTATATATTGAAAGTTAATTTTCATGTGGTATTTAAAACTGAATAAGTGGAAACTAAAGAATATATCAAGATGTTAATTGTTAATTAATAAGTGTAGTTCTAATTAATACAGTTGTGTTGCAGACACTACAGTAATAACTATATACCACATTCATTTATTATTTTCACTTTTTTATTTCATTAAATATTTTTGAAATGTAAAACATTTCTCTGATATTTTGCTCCTTTGATAATACAATTAGTTAACTGGATTAAGATAACAAATGGTGATTTTTGTACAAGATAACACTTCAAACTTACTGGTATATATATGGGTTTTATTTTCCAGGCTGGAAAGCCATTTTTGACTAGCCTTTTTTATTTCCCTATAATATAACACCATTTACTGTACACATAGAACTAGTTGGAGATTAAGATGTTCAGTTTACTCCATTCAAACCAAACATGGTGTCATATAGCAATATTTCAATATATTGTAGTGTCCGCAACAATTCCAATACTGAAAAAAAATTATGGATGCCTCAGTAAATTCTTTAATTCATTGAATTTATCTATAAAACTATTTGTTATAACTTCTTTAATTGTATTAAAGTAAGTAAAATCATAGACATTTTTTAAAAACTGCAAAACAATTATACATCAAGAAATAATTAATGGTCCTTGTTATGTGGTTATTTTCATCTCAATACACCCCATTCTGCATCTTTTTATATGATACATTTTCAGAAGTTGATCCTGTGGTATATAATTCAGCATAGAAATGAACATTTATCAACAATTATTTTTATAAAAATGACAAAAGATTATTCTTATGGTTACTTGTAGTGTCCGCAACAAAAATGCTATGTATTTTCAAAGCTAGACAAGATAAAAACGAAGATATCCAAGATGTTATGACAAATGTATTTTCACATGATAATTATATAGGTCTTATGTGTGATTGTAAAGGTAGATAAACTTAAGGAAGGGAGATAAATTAGGCAAAAAAATTAGTAAGTCATTAATGTGAATAAAATTTCTGTTTTCAAAGAGAACCATAAGATTTTTCTTTTATTTCACGGCAATTAGGTACATAATCGAAACCTGCAAGAATTTTGGAATAAATAAATATCTTTAATATTTTATTTTAGACATAACAGGTGTGATGTAGTGTCCGCAACACAACGTCTCGCCCAAAATTTGACTTCGCATAACTTTTTTCATAAGAATGCTTATATAAAAAAAATTTGGGACTCATTTGCATAGGTATTGTACTTTCTAGAAAATATGTCAATAATGTTCTGTTTGACTTTTTATTTTTTGGTCCAAGTGCAACACAATTAGCACAAATACTGTGAAAATGGCAAAAGAAAGATGTCACTCTAGATAAGAAGACCATGGCAAGAAATGTACAGTTGTTTCTTGAACAAAAAAAAAACTTGGGTGAACATGCATTCACTGACTAAGCATTTAAAAAAAAAAGAAGAAGAAAGAAAGATTAAACTGGGCTTTATGTGTAAATTCCAGGTAACATATTTTACCTGCAGGTTTCAGTGAATAAAGCAATGAAATGGGAAAATGTTTTAAATAAAAATTAATTCTGACATATATCCAGATTTTTTTTCTTGCGTGTATTAGACTGAAAATTCCATGCGAAAATGAGGCGATCGAACTTTTTGACAGTATCTTATATTGGCAATAACATCTTGGGTTGGTCAGAAGAGTGTAAACCAACATATGTTATTTATATATACATTGCTTTTATTTTTTTTTTCTAGTGATTGAGAGACGTTTACATTTTAACATGTCCGGTTTCAAATTAACAATTTAGTTCGTAATTTTTTTCCCCTGCTAAATCTGTAATCATTTCTCCCCAAAACTATTACTTACATGAATAAGAAATGATTTTAAGGGCTTGATTTCGGAAAATAGCACAGAATCCTAATACATTTTTCAATATGTCTTGGTTTCCGAGAACGTTCATAGAAACAAGAATAGGGTAGTCTGTTGAGTTGTTTTGAAGTCGTAACTAGTTTTGAGTAGCTTCCTTGCATTAAAAGATGTAAGTCCAGATGCATGGTACTTAATAATAATATTTTGAATCATTAGGGTTATTTTCCATCCTTCTTTAACGGGCACTGTGTCAAAAGAAATTAAAAAAAAATACTTACTGTAATTGGTCATTGCAAGATCGAGGCGTGGCTTGCATAATTATTTAAAAAATTATTCATGAAGGGTACGGTTCACTTTGTGCACGGTACGGTACGCTTCTTGCACGGAACGGTTCGTTTTGTGTATGGTACCGTTCGCTTTGTGCACGGTACGGTACGCTTCTTGCACGGTACAGTACGCTTCTTGCACGGAACGGTACGGTTCATTTCTGAGGTGTAGTAGCACGTTTTAGGGTCTGTACATATAAGGAGAAGCCATAATTGGTATTTTAATGACATAAAATTAAAAACAAACCCTTATTTGTGACAATAGAAGATTTTCTTACCAATTTTACTTAGACCAGCAATCAAGACGACCAGAGTTAAGAAGAATGGCTCTTTAATCGCTTCATACTTGATTTCCACCAATACCACTCCCTCAGCATGTTCTTTTTCTGTTTCATTTGATGTATGATTGGAGGTTCCATTGATAGAAGGGACAGAGTCTGTTGTGGAGACACTTGCTTGAACACTGCAGAATCCAAGTAGTAAAAACACACAGATAACCCTCATTTCTGCTTTTCTGAAACAAAGAAAATCAAATCAAATGTATGTATGTTTTAAAGTGAACATCACAGGATTTTTATGCATATGGTTTTGTCTTATAAGGAAACTGAGAATTTTACTGATGTACCATTATCAGTTTCACCTAGAGGGTAACAAGGATTTTTAATACATGTAGGTACATAAATTAAAGTTTAGTAGAACTTAAATAGAAGTCTGGTACTTTAAAACACTTATGTGTCAGTACCAGGCATATTTGTTAAAATGAGCCTACACATTCCCAATTTTACTACAGATATGAGGTCAAATTTTGATTAATGAACCCACTGATGTTTCATTATCTTTGTCCCACAGGGTTTTACCACAGTTTGACATATTTGAATTTTTCATTTATGAACAACTACATATGCATACTGGTATAGTCATATTCATAAAATATCTATCATACTATCATAAAAAACAAATAATATGGATTACAAATCAAACTGGAAGTGTTGGAAAACTTTCAATTCAAATACCAAACATACTTAAGATTGGAGGAGATGACCAAATTCATTTAGAAAACATTTTAACTTAATTGTCTCTATTTACAACAGTCATTGTAGAAATTAAGAATAAAGCCATTCACTGCAAGAGGAAAGTATTAACTCCTTCCTTACATGAGCTATCCTAAGTACATTGTTACCAGTACAGTAAATTCCTATCCTAATTAAGTCACATGATACAAAATATTTGCTGTAATTAAATTTACCGTATGTATATAAATCTTCTCTTGCAAAGTAGGAAATCTGAATGACAGATGATTAATTTAGCACATTTTCTAAGTCATTAAGAAACCTTGTAGCTCTCCTAAATAACAGTTATACACATATATATAAATGATTACTGATATAAATTGACAAATGATGGTAATATTTCTTATCTCAATTAATATATGTTATTTATGCACAGTAAATAACTTTCTAATATAAGCTGTACATGTTTTTTTTTCCTCTTCTTCTTCTTTTTTTTTTAATTTTGAACTACCAGCAATGTAAGCCTGGATCAAGCTTTAAGTCATGCAAATTAATATACCTGTATTGTGTGTTTTGAATTTATATCTAATATATAAATATTGATCTCAGTGCATGTAAATACTTCTCTTTAAGACAAAGAGTGTACCACATATATAACATATAATTTGTATACCTAATATCTGGCAGCTTTATAACCTAGCTAGCTTGCAGGTTTTTTTTTCTAAATTCATTAACACTAAACTACATTTATATTGAGAACTTGATATATAGTAACTGGCATTTTTTTCTTACTAGTTTTGAGTTATTTTTTCTTTTTTTTATACCCACTCAACTGACATTTAACATACCTGTTGTGTAGTGTAAATATTCATGGTTCACTGCTATTAATTCATTTATCAAGAAAATACAGTACATAACAACTGACCTACTTTAGTATTTACTCATATTTATTCAAAGGATTTTTAAAGTTAAATAAGATTCTACACATTTTAATTTTGCTTTTCAAGTTTAAACCATTTAATAACTTCTTTGATCCACCTCTGAGTCAATGAAAACTTTACTTATGAATATGTTTTCTTTGACTAAGAAATTATTTCTGCAATGAAAGCTAGATACCTAATATGTGTAGTGTTCATTGATAAACAAATATAATATTCTTTTTGTCCCAATTTCAAAACAGTACATTCTTTACATAAACAAAGTCAGCTCTTTTTTTTTTTTTTCAAAAATGTCTACAGATAATAATGTTAAAAAAAAATTACATTTGTGTCTGCAAGAGCTTGTTACAAAAATGTTTGTTGATCATGATTTCCTGGTAAACGGAGGATAAACATGAAGATTTTAATTCAATTTATAGCAATTTCCCATAATCACTTAGCATTTATGCTATATGAAACAAAGTCTTCTAACTGCTGGCCATTCTATTTACATTCTTTAAGTTCTTAAAGGTATTAGCACTTATCAAATGATCCCCCCCCCCCACCACCACCACAACACCCCCCCCCCCCCAAATATATATATGAATAAAATAACATAGTGTTTAATGCAATTTAGAGAGAAAAAAGCACATGAAATGTGTTTGTTTATTGTCATAAACACATTTGTTTTCTACATTTACATCTCTGCTGAAAGATGTGCAAACAGATACCCCACGAGTTGCAGAGGGTGTTACAAGTATACTAGGTCACTATTCATGTACAAAAAGCTATTAAAGCAAGCTAAAAATAAAAATATCATTAAGATTAACTATTTCTCTTAATTTTAACTATTATATGTGCATTGAAAAATAAAATTGATAATTTTTTGTGTCCTTATATCTACAGGAGGAAGTAAGTCTACTTTCTATATTGCACGCCTTATGCACGTTATTAAGTAGATGAATTAGTGGTAATCATCAGTCAACAGCGAGAAATCTCACAGACCAGAAAATAAGCTAATCTTCTTGATTATTTTTTATTCATTTTACAAAATCAAAACTATCAGAAAATGAACGTACTGAGTAATGATAAGGTTGAGAGTTTGAGAATCCTTCTTAGCGTGTATCATGCTTTAAGGCGTTCGGGCAAATTGTCAAAGACCCGTAAACTTTAGAAAGATGAAGTGATAGAATAAACGAATGCATAGCAAAAATAACCACATAAAATGCTTTAATAACTAACCACATCTACGATATCTTCCTTCAGTCACAATCTCATGAACTCATTCGAGTCATCCGACTCATCGCTGTTCGCATCCGTCTGTTATTACCAGTTTTATTTTACCGAACTTCGAGCCCGTGCATATTACAGAAAAAAAATTAGTGCAAGACTACAAGGAAGATAGATGTCGCCAAACCTTGTTTTGTTTTGAACATATCTTATTGAATAAATAAAAAAACGAAGGATTGGAAAAAAAAGTTCTTACAACTTACTTGTTCCTCTCCTTACAATATGTCATGCAAAATAACTGTTTAAAACTTCAATTTTACAAGAAACCAAACCTTCCCAATAAGGCATTATAAGTTCAATGTAAAAACTGACTGCAGCTATATTAATCGAATTAAAGAAAAGAGGAAAATCATGTGACAGGGTGATTTATGTCATATATTAATTATTATATTTCAGGATTTAATTAATTCAGTTGAATTATCATATTTATTTCTTTACAACATTTCATTTATTGAATAAATCCACATGGAATTATTTACATCAATCTGTGTTTATTGAGTTATTTATAGATGTATGACATCACAGTGGTCATTTAAACCCCTGTCCCTTTTCTATATATATATCTTGTGTAGTGTCCAGGCCAACTTGGATTTCATTGGTTGGTTAGTTTCCCTCTCTTTTGGTTTTTACCTAGTTGATTACTTTTGTTTGAGATCTTGGTCTGAGCAGACATATTGGTTTCTTCATATTTATTTGTGTATGTTGACTGAATTATGACATGACCAAGACAGGACAGAATGTAAGTTTACTTTTACTAATTTCATTATCTCTATTTAATTGTTTATCTGCTAAATTACCAAATAATAATATTCTAATATAAAGTATTAAAGTTCAGTTTGTGCGATTATTTTATGACTTTGTAAATATTCAGAGTAATAAGTATATTTTATATCTGTGTGAATAAGTGTGTAATACAGTATTAAAGTTATATTTACATCATTCATACAGAGATCACTGAATAGAGTACAGCTGTGTTCAGCTTTGTACATGTATATATTGGAGTTATGGCTCTATATCACATATAGGTATGATGTATATATATTTTCGATTGAATATTGTCTAAATAGTTATATTATTCTGGAAGAGTTCAGTATAATTTGATCTCATTGTTTTATCTATACATGTATATTCCAGTGTTTATACTTTGTACATATTATTGATTAAGAAAGATAACTCTTAATGTTTTATCTATGAGCACAATTAAGGGAAATAACTCTTCATTTGACCGTGGTCTACATGTATGTTTTGTTATAAAATATTTATGATTGTTTATATATATTTCAGAGCTATGATAATACTGATAATACTGAGAAAGAATATATTTATTAACAACGACAGTATGGCGTTTGTCTTTATTTTCGTATAAACGAACCCCATTTCAATCAAAAAGTCAATGTATAATAGTTTTCATCTAAATAGAATTCATAATCATTCAATCAAAGTGACATTTTTCTCTGTGTTCTTTTTTTTCCCCTTCACTGTGTTCAAAATTTACTTTATTTTCGTTAACAAAATGATAATGTCATGAAAAATCTGTATCGATTGCACTGTATCATATAAATTCAAAACACTGCTTATGCCACAAAACAAATTGATTACACACACATGACATTATATTGATACTGAACAGTTGAATTATCTACAACAGACCGTCGTTTCGCGACTTACCACAGAATGACTGACGTTTTCTATATGACAATCCGCAGAAAATGCACATTACGTGACCAGTTTTTTCATCCGTAGCCCCATTTTTATCTTGTTCTTCCCTTTTTAATTGTTACAGCTAAGATGCTGTATACTTGTCTGTAATAATTTAACAAGCGATGGTGCCTATCATAATATTGATTATACGATTTCTCCGACTACCCACACTAAATACCGAAGTCCCTTTCACTATGAAACATGATCTGAACCGACTATCAACACATCCTGAGTTTTGTAAACCAAGAAAAACATACTTAGAAGCATCTAATTATCTAAGAACTACAATCAGCGCTCTAAAGGGGCACCTGTAGCCTTCTACGTCGGTTCGCAAGCAGCACTTCTTACTGGTACCTCAATCGTTTCAGATTGTATGTTTGTTTGTTCAACCGGGGAAAAATACATCAATAATTGTAACATATGTATCGTAAACAATTAGGCGCAAGAAATCACGGTAAGCACATCTATTAAATGTTGTATTTCCAAAGAAACTTCATCACATAGATGAAATGAAACCTCAATCCAGTCTCACTACTTTACCAAGTTATTTTTGTTTACCTTCAATCAAGGTGAAGGGGGGAAACAATGAAAGAGAA